GAACACCCAACCAGCAGTCTGGACCCACGAGGCTCGTGCTGTTTGCATCCCTGGCATGCGAAATCAAAGCTTATTGCTGCTATTGCCTGGGCACCTCTTGAATTCACTTGAAATTTGAGAAACCACATGCAATGTAATCCACTGGTGGTGCTGGGAATTAACACGGAGCAATCTATTGAAATAGAATCAAAGAATATCCCAAGTTGGAAGGGACCCATAAGGATCATCGCTTTCAACTCCTGGCTCTACACAGGACCTCTCCAACTAAACTTGCATCCTTGAATACTTTTCAATCCTGACCCATTTGCCGAGTCAAGGGCAAAGATTTCATGTCAGTCTCAAACAGGAATGGGATATTTCAGCAAAGCCAGCCCAACCTTTTTGGTTGAAGGAATTCCCTGCAACAGCTGTGGGATGCTCAAGAGGCAGCAGCCTCAGCTGCGCAGTGTCTGGGGATGTGGCTGCACATCAGCTGTAGGTTTGATGTTGGCTATGCTTGCTGTGCACGTGCTGCAGGGCCTTACAGGCATTATGCAATAGCACACACAGCATGAATGATGGATCCGTAGTCAGCAGGTTATGTTCTGTGCATTTCAGGCTGGCTCACGCTCTCCATAGCTTGGCTGCACTGGTCGCAGGCAGCTCTGCAGGGCTTGGCATTGGGTTACCAAGGTGTTAGTGGTGAGAGAGGCTCATGTGAAAAGCAGGTGATGGATAGCATTGCTCTGGCACTTTTTTTGTTTGCCACTGTCCTGCCTTGGCTGTGGCTCCCGCTTCTCCCTTGCAAACTGGAGCCATCTGGACACGTGCACCTTGCCCCTCCTTGTGCATGGCTGCTTCTGTTTCAGTGTCCATTTCCCTGCAGCTCCTCACATCAGTGTTGTTGCTGTTGGATACATTTACCCAACTCAGAACCAATTTACCCAGCTTGTTTCCGGATCTGTGATCTGGTTCCTTCCCACTCATAGGCAGAAGATTTGCTCTGAGGATTTATTTTGCCCTTCATGAGTTTAGATACCAACCAACCCCAAAATCAACCTCTATGATTTCAGGCTTTGATTTCACCTTCCCCCTGAGAACCATCTGTGCAGGTGTGTGACAACACCAAGCTCTCTGCCCAGGCTTATGGATGCTGCGTAGGGCTTCTGATTTGCTCAGTAGCAAACACTGGGTTGTTCTGGATGCACAGGACCTGGCCAGGGCTCAGCACAAGGCACAGCCCCTGCAGCCAGCTCTGGGCACAGCAAGGCTGCGAGCTTCCCTATGCAAAGTGTGCTCCAGCCCAGCTGCCTTGGTTTGTTTTTGCAAATAATGAGAGAGTTTATTTTAGTTTCCTAGATGCACAGTGGTAGTGCTGGAAATAAACAATGCTGGAGGAAATAGAAGAGTGCTATGCATGATGATTTATTTATTTTTGTTGTAGTTTATTTTAAAATCCGTAATTCCTAAAAGAAAGCATTGTCAATAAGGAAAAGGAAAATTAGTGGGTTTCTTGTGGATTGAAGGCTCTGTTGTTGGTTGGGTTTGTTTTTTTGCTTTCAGAAATTGTGTTTTCTTGCTCAGCCAGGATTCCTGCAAAGTGACCAATGTGTTTAAAATCCCAGCTTGCAACTTGGTTTTGTTTCAGAAGTGTAGAACCCTGATGCGTCTGCTGGGGTGTGCATGGCTCTCCTCCCTCACCACTTGTGCTGGGTCAGAGCAATGACCTTGTGCCACGCAGCATAGCATAGGGCAAGGAGAAACGAGGCTGTTTGATTTAGCTCATGGCAGAAAACACAAAGGGAACTGGAACGCCAGGAATGCAAAGAGCGTCCTCGCCCTGAGCGGTGAAACCAGCAGGAATTTCCCAGCCAGTCCTTACAGGTCAGCTTTGGGAGCAGCCCGTGGGTGCATCCGTTCTGCAGCTCCACTGGGTGTCTCCTTGTCAGCCTACGTGTGTGCACTGAGTACAGTTTTCTTGGAGGAAGTAGCACTGAGAAATGGGTGAAGAATCTGCAGAAGACCGTTTTTAAGCTCGCAGCTCCTCCCAGAAGACAAACATGCACATACAGGCAGTGTGTACAAATGATTCTGCAAACCCTCTCTGCCCCAGTCCTGGGCTCAGGGCTTTCCCAGGGCTGTGGGATGGGGATGGGGCACCCAGTGCTCCCCAACCCATTGAGCACAACCTCACAGCACCTTTGAGAGCAATCCAAGGGTTGTGCTCCTTTGGAAGCGATTGCTGGGGGCTCCAGGATGCTGCAGCCTCAGTTCTCAGCTGTTGAGCAATGCGTGTTAGGGGGGGATTCCCAAAAGCTCTGAACTGATGGAATAGTGAGCATCAGTCATCAGGGAACTGATGGAAAATCGTTTCTTGGGTATGCTGGGAAAGCAAGGCTGCTGCACTTCTAGGCTGCCTGGAAAGAAAGGGGAGGTGAGCATTACAGTGAAGTGTAATTCCACCTAGTGTCATATCTGTATTAGATTAGCTGTGCTAATGTGTCCTAGGAGCAGCTAAGCCTCAGTTGAGATCACAGACCCCTCGTGCCAACTGCTTTGGATGTGTAATGGAGCAGTTCCTGCCTCGCCTCATAGAAAATGATAGCCAGGAGGGGCAGGAAGTCTTACAGTGTTTCTCAGCAAGTAAGAAGCTCCTTAATGGGAAAAATGAGACACAGTTTAGCAAACACTTCAGGATTTACTTACTTTTAAGAATGTTGTTTAATCCTGTTGAAACTGAGAGGATTACTTCTCCTCAAACTGTGCTTTGTGCTGCCTGGGCTGGGGGCTGGTGGAGCTGTGCTGGATGGTGCTTACTTGCTCCCCACTCCAACCTGCAGGAGCTGCACTGGGAGAGCCTTCCCTGCTGCCAACCCAGCTCTGCTCAGCTGTGTTTTTGGAGCTGCCAGGTTTCGTGGAAGCTCTCTGTATCAAATCCCTCTTGGGAAGTGGGTTGCTTTGCTTAGTACCTGAGCTCATTGCTGGAGCCAGGTGCCAGGCTTTGATGTGCAGGGATGCTCAGAGATCGGAGCTTTTCATGAAAGAACAAAGCAAGAAGCATGGCTGTAGAGAAGAGTGTGCTTTTCTCTTACGTTTCCCTGGAAGTCAAACCCACAGTGCAGCTGTCTGATTCATACAGTGATTTTTGTGCTGTGCAAGTCTAATAATAGATTGCAGAGGAGACTGGGACTTCCCTGGGACTGCTCACACACAGCAGGCACAATGCAGTGCCTCTGGTCTGCCCCAGTGATCCCAAAGGCACTGATGAGCTCAGTTCCTCCTCTCCCAAACTGGTGATTCTAGAGGGCACAGAGGGATTTGGTAAAATGGGCTCTGAGGTCTTCAAAGTTGCTGATAATTTGGGGATTGAGACCTGTTAGGAGATGGTAGCTGGTTCAGTGCTTGTCCAAAGCAGAGATGGGAATCTGACCAGCTGGTGCCTGCAGCTTGCTGGCAGCAGGGCACGTGGCTGGAACACCTTTTCTAGAAGTGATCAACTTTTGCCTGTTCTCCTTTTTTTTTGTTACATTACAGTAAAGTGAGGAACTTCATGCTTTCTCTTGTAGTTGCTCAGTGTTCATAGTCCCCCATCAGTGGCTCCAGGGCATCGCTGTAAAAACCAGGCCAACAGGGATGGTGCTGTGGTTGCTATCCAAACAATCTCCAAAGAGTGAGAAATAGGCCAAAACAGGCTCTTGATAGCCACGGCAAAAATGATGTTTTGTCTAATTAAAAAAATCCCTTATTCATGCCCTCTTGATTAGAAGGATTTGCCAGGGGTCACATCTTATTAAAATGAGAAATAAATACGGATGCTTTACTAGCACCCCATTAGAAGCATTTGCATGGTGGACAGTCAAGGCTCTGAGGTGAGAGGAGAATCCCCTGCTGCTCTGCGGCTCCTTTCAGTGCTGGATGCCCCTCGATGATCGTTTATAGGCCAAGCTTTGACAATTCACAGGCTCATTTGCCTCGTTGAATAATTCAGTATCCTCAGTTCTCCAAGTGAAAGTCAGCTGGGAAAGGCCAAAGTGTGGCAGCTCCTTTGTGAAAAGCCAGGAGGTCCCTTCGGAGCGCTGCCAAGCACTGGACAGCTTCTGGTGGTCCCAACCCAATGGGTTCTTTGCCCAACAGGGAGCTGTGGAGCTGGGGGCAGCAGGGACCCATCCTGCAGCCCTTCATGTGCGTCCCAGTCACACATTTCTGTTCATTCCAGTGGGCAGGAAACCATTCCAGAAATAATAGGTTTATCTTTTCATTCTGGCTTTGATAAACAGTGAATAGGAGCAAGGGTAGGACATGGTTTAGATCTGTGCGTGACTGAAACAGTTCTTTGTTTTTCTTCACTTAAAATTCTGCGTAGCAATTAAAGCAGGAGCTTAAGTCAAATAAAAGACAGTTCTCAGAACCAGCTCACGACCTTACTGTTCTTAATGGCAATGCTGATGGAAATATTTCATGTTGAAGCCATTCTGGTTGCTTTCTGCTAGAAGAAGGCAATGGACTGACAGACTGAGGGTGCATTGGTATTGGAATGCATGCAGTCAAAATCTTTCAGTGTTGGAAGGTTTGCCTCAATAGCATCACCATCTCAGTGGAAAGAGATGGAAGGAGTTACAACTCTTCAGAAATAAAATACAAAGTAAAAACAGTTATTTTTTCCAAAGATACTCTGTGCTACCCTAATGGAGCAGATCTGGCACGGTGGAGATGGGTTGATAGTTGGACTGGATGATCTTAGAGGTCTTTGCCAGCTTTAATGAGTCTATGGATCTATTATACGAGCTGCAGGATGGGGTTTCCTGGGGCGTTGCATGGTGTCTGTATAGCTGAAGGCTGGATGTCTTTTGTGCTCAGAGGCAAAAGCAGAGGCTGCGTGGGCTGTGATGGTGCTCACCCAACCTCCTGCTGTGATGCGCTGAGGAACGGAGCACATCCACCACTGGGTGGCTGTGGGAGCAGAAGGTGTTCAACAAACTGTCCTCTGTCTTCAATGAGGATTTTTTTTTTCTCATTTCCAGGTGATCTCTGCAGTATCCAGGCTCTCCTTCCACAGTATTGCTCAAACCAAAGGAATTAGGTAAGATCCTTTTGATACTATGCCTTAAATCTTGTTTCTACCTCTCCCTGCACAGACTCATAGTGTTTAATCACACCAGGCTTTCTGGAAGCATTAGTGAGACTGGGATAAATCAGGGTTAAGCAGACACTGAGGATGCCGTTGGGACATAGGCAGGGCACTTGTAGAAGCACCTTGCCAGCTGCTCAGGAGTGGCTTACAAAAATAACAAGTGGAGAAGCCATGAGTCAGTGCTGGGGGGGGAGCAGGGTGGGGTGCAGCTCCTTTTTGTGGAGGCTTTGCTCAGGACTGCTGCCTTGCAGACCAAGTGGGCTCTTAGTGCCCTGCAGCTGGGCAATGCTTTTGGGAAAGGCACCTGAGCACTGTGTGTGCAGCAGGGCTGATAAATGCTGCAGGCAGAGCTGCCTTACTGCTGGGGCTGCATGGAGGGAGTCGGGGAGGAGGAATTCCAAAAAGCAAAGCAGCCCTGCTGAGCAAAGCCATGACCTGCATCTCCGTTCAGTCCGCTGCAAATTGATTGCCATCGATTTTCTTGTTTGTGTGCGTTTATGTTACAAATCTGGAAGCATCTTCTCATTAGGAAGAGATTTCACTGGGATGAGTTCTCAACCTCGTGAACTTTTCATCGTTTTTTATTTTTACTTTTACCAGTGTTTTTTTCCCCCTCCCCTCGCACCAAGCTGTTTCCCCCCTCCCCTCGCACCAAGAGCACTTGCTCTTACCACAGACCTTGTCATGGTGCTGTGCTGCTTAGGGTGTAGCACAGCATCGTTCTGTGGCAGCAAACACAACCAGATCTGGGGGTGGCAACCACCCCACACCACGCTTCTCCCCCCTGGAGTTTATTTCCTTAGCATCACGTGTTATTTTCCCTCTGCTGATATCGCCGGAGGGGGAACAGCTTTTCACGTGTAAAACAAACTCTGAGTCTTCCCATCTGTTAAGCACAAATCCGACAGATCCCACCCGGAGTGGGAGAGCAGAGGTTGAGGAATAGAGGCATGCTGTGAGTTAGGGGCTGTTTGCTGTTAGGGACAGACCTGGTGCTGGATGCAGGGCAGGGCAGTGTGCAGGCTGGGATGTGTCTGTCGTGGATGTGCTGATTTTTCTCATTCATCTTTACAGCATTTACAGTCCCTGCTCCAGTCCCTTATCTCAGAAGCCTCTGGCTCTGTAATTACACAAGAATAGCACAGGGCTTAGTGGGGCTTTGCATATAACTCTGTTTTCTCTGCGAATTAACCCTGCTCCTCTGCTCTATTGTCAGAACAGAAAACACCGTGGCATGAAAATCCCCCACTGGGCTGTTCCTTCCCATCACCCCATCCCTGCAGTGTGACAGCCCTCTCCTTTCTGAGATGATTTCTTAGAAGCCCCAGTGATGAGCTAATTGCAGATGAATTAAGTTGCTCTGTGGGAAGGAGCAGCAGCCCCAGCCCCCAAAGGGACTGTCCACCAGGTCCCCAGCCTTGGGAATATGCTGCCATTGGAAGAAATGGGAAAAATCTTGCTGGCTTAGACACGGTGCTCAAAGAACATGGCAAATCCAGTGCAATTAGGGTGGTACATGGACTGTGTGGTCTTCAGCCCTACAGCATGGACACGGATCTGTGTTTTAAGGGCAAGAATTCAGGATTGCGTAAACTAAGAATGAAATAAATCCCCAGCCTTATCACTTCCCCTTAAATAGATTTCATGGCATGCAGGGTAGGAAAATAAAAATCAATCTTCTCTGCTATTCAGTGAAAAAAGAAAATAATAGTCATTCTGTCTAATAATATCTGGATTCATGAACCTTGCCAGAGAAAACCCTGTTTTGCAGAGTAAATCAGATAGCTATCAGGAGAGCAACGTGGAGATGACAAAGTGCTTCTTCCTAGGAGCAAGGTGCAGGCAGCCAAACAAGCAGCAATCCGGACTGCGGTGCGTTGGGTGCAGGGTGCTGGGCTGAGCACCATGGTGTGGCTGCAGCCTGTGCTGCACATCTGATCTGCTTCTTCCAGAAGTTCTCTGGAGGGCCCATTTTCACTCTTTGAAGAGAATCAGAGGAAATAAGGTTGATTTTTTTGGATGAAGCAGTGTGTTGAATGGAGGTGGGTGCACAGCATTTGTTCTTGTTTGGGAACGCGGATTCTGCAGTGATGCAGCAGTGCCCTTTTCCCACTGTTTTCACCCATGGGTTGTTTTATAAGGCTGCGTGTGGGGACAAGGAAAAGCTCATCCTGTTGAGGCATCACCCATCAGCTGAGGAGGAGATCTGTATTATCATTTTTGTGTCTCATCCTCTTCTGCATCTGTCTGGATGCTAGTCAGCAGACCCAGGAGGAGGTTATCACCACACTCCTTGCCTACCCATGGCTGGCTCTGATCAAGGAGGCTTTGTTCCAGGTCCAGAGCCCCTGGAGCTTCCCCTGCAGACCTGTCTTGCAGCCCATGGAGTCTTATTATGCTGTTTCTTTTAGTGGCTGGCATTAAATGCCTCCAAGTTCGGTGTGAGGACTTTGTAGCGGACAGGAGTAGCGCATTCTTGGAGGGATATTGTACAGAGGTTCCCCTGTGAGCATGTTTTCATTCCCTTTCGATGTTTTCTTTCTTCTCTCTGAAAGACAGCAGAACTTCTTGCTGTAGCTCCCCCCAAAAAAAGCAAACCCCCAGGATTTGCTTCTAACAACTTTTCTCTCAGCCTTTCTGCTGCAGCCCAGTTGTTCCCACTGCCCAGGAGCACCCAGGCCATCACACACCTGGTGCTGGCAAGCTCCCCGGGCTCAGCACGAGCAGGGGGCAATGTTTTGTCATCTCCCCAAGATGTGTTTTTCCTGGAAGCGGAGCTGTGCAAGCAAAGCAGGAGGTGAAGGAATATTGGCTCCTGCTGCCTGCATGCATTTTTAATGCGCGCAGTGAAGCCATCTGAGAACGGGAAGGAGTCAGTTTGTTCAAAGGCCTTTTACTGAGGTCCTTAATCTAAGTAAGTCCTTTATATATGAGTTGAACCTTTAAATGACTTTCTTCAGAAGGCACTGCAGTTAATAAAGCAGGTTTTATAACGTTTGCAAATGGGGAGGAGGAAGGGCCACCGCGTTTGTCACGCTGCTGCGCTCTGCTCTGTGGCTGCGTCTGGGGAGGATGAGGAGGGGGGTAGAGGATGGTGCCGTGCTCTGCACGGCTGCTGGGGGTCCCCTGGGGATGGGGGATGAAGACAGGTTTGTCAGACAGGTGCGTTGCTTTGTGCTGGTGGTGGCTGGGCTGTGGGCCCCCCGCCCTTGGGGATGGAGGCTCAGTGCAGGAGTGGATCCATCCGGGTGTGAAAACGTGAGCAATTAAAGTTGCTAACGATTAGGGCCTGAGTGTCTTCGGGCAGTGAGGAGGTGGTTGCAGAAGCTGTTTTGCAAGGCTGCTTTTACAAGGACTGTTTCATTCCTTGCCGATGCACTCGCTGTAATTGCACTCTACCCATTATATTTTTTACTGCTGTTGTGTATCCATTGCGCACACTTCAAGTGTTGCTATAAAACAGATTTAGAAAGCTGCGTCAGGGATCCGTGCCTTGAAAATGCATAGTGATGCTTCTGCTCCTGGGGCTGGGGTACAGCCCTGAAACACATTTCTGCATGACCTGAGCTGTCAGAAGTCCTGAGCTCCTGGTGCATGGCTGCCTTGCTGCCCCCAGTCCTCACCAGCACAAAGCTGCAGAGGTTTGGGCACAGAGCTAACAGTCATCGAGTCGACTGGGGGTGGCTCCCCGTGGCACCTGCAGAGCTGCATTAAGAGTGACCAAAGCTTCTTCCTTTGGTGATAAGCAGGATCCTTGGCTACAAGCAGCTCTTTTCCAGCTAAAAACACTTGCAACAGGTTTATTTTGGCAAGCATGTATCCGCGCAGACTTGCTCCTAAGAGAGTCTGAAAAATGTCATTGAGATGTTTTGCTGCGCAGCCACTTTGTAGGTCAGGGGAATGCTGAGGTCACTCAACAAGCATCTGCTAATAAAAGCAGCTTCCCTCGCCCCCTCCGCACCCTCGGTTCTGCGTAAGGAAAATGCAGTCCTGAAGTGCACAGCTCTGCTTTGCAACCAAACTGGGGGCATGCTGCTGTGTCACAGCTCCTTGCCATTGAGGGCCATGCTACCATCAGGCTCCCTGCCCTATGGAATCATTAAAGTAGGAGAAAACCTTTAGAAACCTCAACTCACCCCACCATGCCCTCTGGCCACATCCCTCAGTGCCACATCTCCACGGTTCCAGGACACCTGCAGGGACGAGGACTGCACCACTCCTGTGCCCACGCCACGCTGAGACATCTTGCACTGTTAGCCTGCAGAGTTTTCTATTTTCTCTTTGGGAAAGATGTTTCTGGATTCCCCTTTTGATTTCATCCATCTGTCATTGTCAAAGTGGAGCTGAAGTGACGAAGAGATCGCGCTGCTTTCTAGAGCGAAGCGCTGCTACGTGGGAATTCAAAAAAGGAAAAGCGATAATGTGTTGAAACATCAAATTATACGAGCTGTTATTTTCTTGTCTCGTAGTCTCCAGAAGTTATTTGGTTCAGATTGGAGCTAAAGATAACCCAGGGCGTGCAGCTAAGCCGTGGGCACTGTGCAGAGGGCTGTGCCGAGTGCTGGAAGTGCTCTCCTGCAGAATCATCATCTTTGCGTTATCTGACGATAAAGCTTGCTGCTTCCTCGCTGAATTTCTATCAGAATTAATCTTGGGAGAATTTTTTTGCAAGTTCCAGACCACAAATAACAGCGAATCGTAATTTTTTTTCAGGAGGCATGTCTAAAATTTGGCACCGCACGAGGCTGTTCTTTCCAGGGATGAGTAATGTAACACAATAGCATGATTTTAATTAAATTCAGCAGCTTTTGGTATGCTCCGATGTGCCTTGTTCTGCAGGGAGAATTGATTCCGCCCTGCTTTATTAACGGACGCTAATAGCGTGCTTCTCAGCTGCCTCGCAGCACTTTCCCAAAATCACTCCCTGGGTTTGTTCCCATTTCACAGATGGGAACCAAAGCTCGAGGATGTGCCCAGGGATGGGCTGGGAGCAGTGCTGGGGAAATTCGGGTTACATGGTCAGCTCCCACCGCCTCGGTGCAGCTCTGAGTAATGCTGGCTTCATCCCTCTGACCCCACTGAAGTCCGCCATGGATGCGTTTCCAGTTGCACGCAAGCATCTTGCAAAGCCACATGGTTTTCTTTGGACGGCCCCACGAGTGCTGTGCTGATGTAATGTTGTGCTCTGTGTCAGCCTGAGGGGCGTCAGAGCCCATGGCCAAAGAGTGACCCGTGGTGCTGGGGCAGTCCTGTGGTCAGAGACCTGGGAGGTGTTGGAATCACCACCCCTGGAGGTGTTCCAGAGCCGTGGAGAGGTGACACTGAGGGATGTGTCAGTGGGCACAGTAAGATGGGTTCGGGTTGGGCTTGGAGATCTTAGAGGTCTTTCCCAACCTGGATGTTCCAGTGATTCAGTCACTTGCTGTTCCCTAGGGAAGGATCCATAGCACACAAAGCCATCTGTAGGATGGATGATGTGGCCAGTACCGGTCCCAGAGCTCTGGAGCAGAGCTGCACTCATGCTTAGGTCACTAAGTTAACTTGGGGGTATCCATTTGGGTGTCAGCTGATGACCAAATGTTAGTAAGGAAAGGGGTGCTGCTGGGATCCTGCAGATGAGGTCTGAGCACTTCTAGTTTTGTTCTCTGGAAGGGTTTCTTGTCACACAAGGGTGCAGGTGGATGTGTTCGGGTTTTTGGGATGAAGGCTCTACTCACAGCCCATGCCTTCAAGCAAATGGCACGTGGTGCAAGGACATGCCAGAGGGTCCCACGGGTCAGACTTGGCCAAAATTAGAGGAGCTGAGGCCAGCTGCTACCTTAACACAGAAACTAACACCAAAAGCTTGAAGTCTAAAACCTTGGTGCAGTCACAGGCTTCTGTAGGGTTTCTGACTTGCTATAATGTTTGCTTCAAAAGGGCTCATTGGTGGATCTGTACATCCAGACATGGGGTTGAGAGTTACTGCAAGGCATAATTATGGTTCATAGGATATCCTGAGTTGGATTGGATCATTGCATCCAACTCCTAGTCTCCTTGCTGGTTGTAGATACCATGCCATGAAAATGTTTTTCTGCCTGAGCCAGAAGCACTCAGCACAGCCCCATCCATCCCAACAGAGCTGGAGAATCCCATTTGCAGCAGCTTCAGGCTCCGTCTCTTTCCATTTATTCCGAATTCCTTTGCAGAAGGGGCAGCAGATGGGAGCAGCTCAGGTTTCGTGGGTGTCACATACCCTTTTTAAAGCACTGAAGTGCTATCGTTGGACGTGGGGAAATGGGGCAAGATTAACATGCTGGCATCCAGCTCCTGGTGAGCGCTGGGCCACCTCCCATGGGTTTTTGCTAAGGATGCACGTGGCCTCACAGCTCTGCCCATTGGGTCCATGGAGAGGGCTGTGGGTGGGACTTTGCCACCCTGCTACTGGGCTGCTGTTGTCCTCCAGAAATCAGACTGGAGAGAGAGGGAAAACAGAGGATTAGTCGTGCTGGGTTCATCCTGCTCTGACACGTGGATTTGAAGCTAAGATGCTACTGTATAAAATCATCTGAGTAAAGCTGCCCCATCCCTGACCCTCTGTGATGGCATCCAGAGGCCAACAGCTGGCTTCAGTCGCTAGGACAAGGTGCCCAGATGCTGAGATATGTTCAGAAATAAATCTTCCTGCTTATTGCTGTTGGAGAGCTGCAGCCTACCTCGTTCACCTTAAATAATTCAGAGGAGGGAGTGGGCAGGCAGAGCCCTGAGCTGCGCTTTCCCCACGGCCAGGGCTGTGCAGTTGAACCAGGGGTGAGGATTCGGATGTGGGATGGACCTGAGCAGCTGCCGAGAGCTTTGTGCGTGAGATGCCTCCTGAAATATTCACTGATTATCACCCAGGGGTGCTCTCCACCCGTGGGCTGCTCCTCCTGCCTTTCCAGGGTGCTCCATGGTGTGCGTGTGTGAGAGCTCTCCATCCCAGAATGCAGCCAGAATGCTTTGTAAGATCACAGGGATGCTCTGCAGTGGGTGTCAGCACTGATCAGCTGTGCTGGTTTTTGTCGTCAAGCTGAACTCCCTGACAAATCACTTTGTCTTAACGTCCCTTTTAGGCTCTCAAACACATAGCATCGATCCTCCTTGTGTTTTCTTCTTTGATCTCTGGAAACGATGCTGCTGGATGCAGCAGGCTCAGTCTGTAAGAGCTCTCCTTATGGAGGGATGTGGTCCTTAAGAGCCTTTTCCAGCAGTGTTTGGTGTTGCTGGGGTTTTTGCTCTTCATTCATGAAGTGTAAATGGCTCAGCAGGTGTTCTTTGGTGATGAATTGAAAAACAAAGTCCAGTGCTTAAATAATGATTCTAAATGAGAGATTTGTTTTCAAACAAACCTTAACAATTTGGGAACTCTGCAAAACTTTTGGCTTTCAGTGGTCTCGAAGTGTTTTATTCATTACTGTTGGGCATTTCCAGCTATTGCAGTTAATACTGCTGATGGAGAGTAACACACCCTGTAAGGGTTTTGTAGAGAATCGCAAGGTCTTTGTGGACTTTATTTCCAAGGTTTCAGCTATTTTGTTATCTTTCTGTTAAATAACTGCACTCGGACTGGTCAAAGGTAGCATGGGTGAGTTGACTGCTCTGCTCCCATGGCACAAACGGGGAGCATCACTGGAACCACGTGTGGCTTTTGCACGGGCTGGGGAGAGCAAAGTGCAAACCCAAGGTGTCGTCCAAATGGCCATCCTTCAGCTCTGAATTTTAGATGGTTCATTTAGTCATCTTCTCTTTGCTGTGACCTCCTAATTGCATTCTGAGCATTCCTATCTAGCCATTACATTGCAGAGATTCAGGTTATTAATTCTTCTCCTGCCCACGGTCAAGGTGAGGGCTCCTTGTGAAGCTGCCGTCTCCCAGAAACTCTCATTAGGAAATATTTTCCTCTTTGCTGCCTCTATGCCTTACATGAGGGGGTTTTTATCACAGCACCCAATTACACCTCCAGCCCAGATTTGTGGTTTTGTGATTTTAATGTTCATTATAGCTCTTTCACTTTCGTTCTGCCGTGGTGAGTGCTGGAGAAGGAAACAGGAATGAGAAGCAAAACATTTAGCGTTCAGAAGAAAGTAGGTCGTGCCTCTTGGTGGGTTCTTGTTTTTGCTTTAACCAGAGGTACTTAAGCAGAGATCACCTCTGGTTTCTCCTGTCCCTTTGGGCTGTGTGGGTGCTGCAGTGCTGCAGTTGATGCCAAGGGTTGGGGCACAGGGGTGATCCCAAATGGCACAGCCCCATCTCTCAGCCCCATTGCTCTTCCCCATCCTTGCCCCTGGCACCTGTGCCAGGTTGGAGATAGCTTGCTCATCAAGGCAAGGCAAATTCATGATCCCCACTCAGCGAATTCAGGGTCTGGCCAGGTCGTGCATTAAATCTTTCAGGAGAGGTGATCTATGGTGAAATGGAAGGTGGGAGGGCAGGGGAGGAGGGCACACGTGGGGGCAGCAGGAGGTCTGCATGCAGTCAGTGTCACAAGGTGCATCCAGCCCCACGGATCCAGGGCCCCGTGCCAGCAATAATACATTGCCTTTAATTAAAGCAATATTTTTCATCTCCTTAGTACGTTGATTATTACTTCAGAATGAGCCAAGGAATTCTTGCTTTTCCCCCTACTCCTCTCCCTTTCTCTTTTTAATCCACTTCCCTCCCTCCTTCCTTTTGCCTTTCTGGTGTCCTTTCTCTGTCCCCCCATGGTTTTAACTTCTTTCAGCTGTCGCAGCGTCGCTAACATGAGGGAGCCCTGCTTTTGTAAGGACTCCCTCATCCTGGTCCTGATGGGACTCACTGCTGGCGATGCTTTCCTGAAGTTTCCTCCATCCCAACAAGGCCATCACCATCCCTGTGGGTGTTCAGGGCACACGTAGACGCGGCACTTGGGGACGTGGTCAGTGGGGATGGGTTGGGGTTGGACCTGATGATTTCATATGTTTTTTTTTTCCCAACCCCTTCAATTCTATGAAGACTTGCTGGATGCGGATTGATATTCATGGCAGGCTGTTTGTGCAGGGCTTGGGATGCTGTTGGGTGGTGCAGCTCCTCACTGCAGCCAAGACAATGTCCTGATGCCTCAGTGAAAACAAATGTGTTTGCAATGTGTATTTTGCTCTGGAATCAGCCCTGTCTGGCACAATGTTCCGGGCCAGGCTGAGTTCATTGGGGTTCAGAAGCACCAGTAACACTGTGCCCATCTCTTTTGCAGGCCGTTCCCTTCAGAGGAGACCACGGAGAATGATGATGATGTGTACCGGAGCCTGGAGGAGCTGGCTGAGTGAGTCCTCACCTTTGCAGGGGGAGGGCACGCAACGGGAAAAGTTGCAATTTAATTCCAGCAAAGTCTGATAAAGTCTGACAGTGGGAACTGGAGAGCCAGGCCGGCTGCTTTGATCGTCCTGCCAGCAGTTTGTTGGGCTCTTATGATAGTCTGTGCTTTCCCACATAGAGAGCCCTGGGAGACGTCTCTGTGAGTCAGACTGGGTTGATGGGGCAGCTCAGTGGGGTCAAGCCCTTGGGAAACCCCCTATCCTGAATCCTAACCCAACTGCTGGGCCCCCCCACCAGAAGCCCCGGGTGCAAATCCTGCAGTGGGTTCCAAGAGCCTCTGTGTTGGGGAATAACCCACACAGGTCCTGTGTGGTGCAGTACACACACCTGTGTGATGTGTATTTTTGCAAGCAGCCCAGTTTGCAAAACTAGGTGAATGCACCAAGGCGTGCAGCACCCTCTGTGCATGGTAGAGCAGCCAATGAACCCTTTGCTGGGTTAGGGATACCCCGAATCCATGCCAGTCCCTCACACACAACGCTACGTGCTCTGGTTGGCATCCTGCATCTATATTTATCTACCTCTTCGCTGCCTGCATTTGCTGCCCTGAGCTGTGTTGGTGATATAACAGGCTTTCAAACAACCTTGAACTAAAATGTATCTGCTGAAGTGCTGGCCCAATTGGAATTCGATGGCAGTATTCCCCCTGGCTCTGGCAGGGCCAGGGCTGTGCTTACGAAGTGCACTCTGTTTCATACATAGAGAGAATCCATATGGGTGGATGTGCGGATTTATGCAGTTAAATATTATCATTCCACAACATAAATAATAAGCTCCTTAATCCAATGAGTTCCTTATGGCTTCGGTTATTACAAAAGTAAATCATAAATTGCCAGCACAGGAACACAGGATACTGCCATCCCCTGCTTGTGGTTTGGTCCCAACTGCTGCAGTTTAATACAACTTTAACTTATAAAAGGATCCTTTCAAGAATAGCATTCTTCAAACCCCCCCCAAAAGTTCTCAAAATCCCTTTCACGTTGAGTTTTAAAATTCCTCATTCTCACACACATGAGCACACATGAGAAATGTTTGTGCACGAGCAGACTTGGCCTTGCAGCAGGTTATTCTGCACTGACCTGTGGGGATTTTTGCCTCTAACTGCTTTGCTGCTGGCTGTCATTGCAGCAGCCCTGGGCAATGGGATGGGATGCTGCATGCATTGGGGTCTGAGAGGCTGAGAGCTGCTCCAGCTGCTGCTCATCCCTTTGCTTGAGCCCATTCTTATTCAGCTCCTCTTTACACCATCACATGGGAGCAGTGGGGAAAGGAGTGTGTAAATAAATGTGGGGATAGTTCAAATTCCTTCAATCAGTGCTCTGTTGTGCAGAGACACAGCCTATAAGATGGAGATATCATTCATCTGCAACAGGAAAAATAACCCTGCAGAGCCTCACGAGCCCCTTCCTGCCCTGATAAAGGAGCAACTCTGCAAGGAAGCTTCTCTGCAGCTTGCTGCTTGCTCTGGGCACCCGTTTGGCATGCTGGCAAACCACGGGGCTGCATGAGAGAACCCTTTCTTAGCAACTGCCCATCTCGAAGCAGCAGAACAAGGGCATCATTCATGGGCTGGGAGTGACTCAGTCTGCCCCAGCAGCTTTGCCTTTAGTATTGCTCATCACCCAGCAGCCCTGGGGAGGTGAGTGTGTCCCAAATGTCGTGTCAGAGGCGAGGAAATGGTTTGCACAGCAAGCAGTAAATTGACCCAAAATGCATGGAATCTATTGCTACCAAACAGCAAAAGCCACACGGAGCAATCTTCTCACTTGCAAAAAAAGCACCCCCACCTCTCTGTGCTGTTATCTGTGCACAGATAGTGCAAGTTATCCAAGGGGTTATTTTTGCCCTTTGGAGCGTTTCACTTTTCACTGTGATATCACAGTGTTTTGGGGACCAGTGTGAGGTTTTCAGGTTGTGGCTGATATTTTGGGTTAATTCCTGCTCAGTAAAGCGTTCCAATTATGAACAAGCTTGTGATGGAGGTGCAGATCTGGGACCATGAGAAGCAAAGTGCACAAGTAAGCTGTGTGCCCACGGGCAGCACATGGAAGCCTGCTGGGTGCAGAGGATGTTGGTGCCTCGCTCCCACCTCTGGGGCAGGGCACATTTTCCATACAGATGTCACCAACACTGGGCTGCCCATCCAGGAGGTCATTACAGACAGTTTATAACTATTTGATCTTTTTTTAAAGAACAACTGGTGATGGAAAGGGGAGGAAGAACTAAAAGGCTCTCAGGGGAGTGAGCAAATTCTCTGATTTCCCATCCTCAGCCATTGGCCAGATGGCAGCCTGGGAGCAATTGGGGCAGATGGGGAGGGCTGGCTGCTGCTGGTGCTTTCCTTAAAAGTGAGAACTTCTGTCCAAACGATGCCATTCATTTGGGCACAGGCCTGATCCATAAGCTGCCCCCCACCATGGTCTCCTTTGTTATATTCTTGTATTTCTTTCCCTGCTGTCACCAGTGTACCTTTGTTGTATCTCCCAAAGCAATTACGTGATCAGCAGAATCTCTCAAATGCGTTAAAGAAAGAAAAAAAAAAAAAAAGAAAGAAAAAGAATTGAGAAGCCAAGGTGAGATGATAAGTTAGCTGCCACTTTTCTCATTATTTTTTTGTGTTGGAAAAACCACACACGCCAGCCAGTTAAATAAATTGCTCTGTGGTCCAGGACGCTCAAGCCATAGCACTTGCACACATCTTTTCTACTTCATCGCCCAGTTTTTGTGTCCTGCTCGGGCTGTCCCTAAGGTTGCATTCATTGCTGTAACTCTTTGAGGCTCGTTTTTGAGATTATAAGGTTCCCCTGTCCTGCCCACAGGGCTGGGAGTTTGGGTTTGGTTGTTGGATGTCTTATTTTAGCTCCTTCTCCCCCTTCCTTTTGCCCATCCTGGTGGCTCTGGGTTTTTCATCAGCAGAGTGAAGCAGTGCTGTGGTATAGGTGGGTTTTGGCATGGTTGGTTCACTGTGGTGGAGGGCGTTTGCACAGAGCAGTCATTGCCAGGGAGGAAAACCTCAGCCAACTGCACTGCTTTTGCCTCAAACTGCCTTACATAAGCAAAGCTTTTACCTCTTTTTGCCTTGAATGAGTTTCCTTGGCTGGGCAAGATGCTGCCAGCCCAAAGATGGTTCTATCCATCCTAATAACAGTAATAGCAAACGCTGGTGTCCTCCTCTGAAAGGAGGATGGAATCCCTTTCCTTACCCCAGAGCTCTCCATTGAACCTCCTAATCCAGGCTGTGATCCCTATGGATAACTCTCAGAGTCTGCTGCTGTTAGTGAAGGTGTAAATTCCCTGTGAAGACAGAAAAGAGGATCTGACCTCAAATTACACCTTGGAGCTTGCTCAAGTTGTGCAGGCAGTGTGTAGCATGCTCGGGATGCTGAGCCTATTGCCATGATAAATGCTCCAAATAGCTGCCCTGCTTTCCCACTCCTTCCAGCATTTAAAATTTGGAGCGCTCAGAGGTTGCTACTGTCAAAAATCACCCAATGCCTGTTCTCTGGTTTAATCATAGGGTGTGAGCAGTGCGTATTTTCACTTCTGGCAGACAAAATATGAGTGATGGAGTGATGCAGAGCAGCAGTGCCAGCAGCTGGGCAGGCTGCTCTAAGAGAGCTGCTCCATGCCACTTGGCTGGGCACCAGCATGCTCTGGTGCTTGTCAGCAATACAGCAGAGATGTGCGTTCATAAACAAGGCTCCATCCAGCAAGGATGAGATAAAAGCATCTTTCCAATTGGCCCTGGGGTGTGGGAGCTGTCTGTGTTTTGGTCATAGGGTGAAGGTTTGATGTTGATGCGTAGGGATGTGTTGGCCAACTCAACCATACGCTTCCTAATATCCTTTGAGCAGGGAAATGATGTATGGAGAGGCAGCCAGCACTCTGAGAAGGGAAGATTAATCAGGAAGCAGGAGTTACTTGCTCTGGATGAGGAGAGGAGCTGAGAATATAAATATTGGTACAGATAATAACGGTGACGGCAACGCTTGGGAAGGGGAAGATGGATCACCAGCTATTAGTGGGCATTATTACAGCAGCTGCAATGCATCACTATGGAAGAATGGGATGGATACATCATGCCAGTGAATTTATTTAAAATCCCCAAACTTTTATTAAATAAATCTGCTTTTAAAAATAGAAAGAACTGCATTTAGAAAAGAAATAAAGCCTAGTTTTGCAAACAGATGTGCTGTGCTGCTCAGTGCTGTGTGATGTAGAAATGGTGAGCGCTACGGTTTGAGCACAGCTTTACACCTCAACATATTTCTTTGTAATTAATGCCCGTGTTGAAAGAGATCGTTTGCAAAATGTGTGAAAGCTGTTTGATATTCCAGTGCTTCTCACTGTCCTGATCCCATGGGATTGACTTTGGTTGGAGCTGTTAGCCATCTGCACCTGTAGATCTTGAGCTCTAAAATTACTGTTGTTGATTGGTACTTGTGGCGGGTTGGATTTTCTGAAGAGCTGTAGGACTTCACAGACCTCTGGGGGACTTTGTAAAGACTCGTGTGGCAGTGAAGTACTGAGCACCATCACCTTCTGATGTCCCCTCTCAGTGGCAGCTTACAGTCTGTGCTTGCAGGGGCTTTTCTTATTGCCATGGTTGCTCTCCCTCCCTAGCAATGAACACTCGTGGCTTCCTCGTTCCATGCCAGCCTCTCTGTTACCCCCGGTCTCTCTCCTTCTCATTGCAGTGAGCACGACCTGGGGGAGGATATTTATGACTGCGTGCCCTGTGAAGATGAAGGCGATGATATCTACGAAGATATCATCAGGGTGGAAGTTCAGCAGCCCATGGTAACTCTTTACATTTGTTTTTAGAGCTGTGATGGAGGGGGAAGGAAGAGGAGAACATTAAATAAATGAGGGATCCGTGAATGATGGGGAATGCGGCAAGGAAGAGAAGGGCTGCCCTGATTTCTGCTGGCACAGAGCTGGGAGGAGCTTTCCATCACAGTATGAGCTTCCAAATTGTCTGCCATCCTCCAAATATCTGCCACCTTCGTGTAAACTCTAATTACTGTCTCCTGCAAACAGCAGACAGCAGCGGAGCGCAGCTGCCTGGAGCAAAACAAGCTCGGTGACAGATCCCCCCCACACCAGGCATGTGGCAGTGCTGGGTGGCACTGGGAGGCTGCAGACTGGTGCCCAGCTCTGGCTGCAAGCAGTGCAAGGGACCGTGACAGTGCTGAGCGAGGCATCCATCACTTCACACCTTGTCCACAGCTCCCTGCGCACCATCAGCCTGCCTTGAGCCAAGAGTTGGGTGCAGATGTTCCCAAGGAGCCTTGCCAAGGCACGTGGGGCTGTCTGCAGGCTGTGCCAGAGCAGCCCAGCGGCCACCAGTGATTTTGCTACTTTGCTACTGGTGCAGAAACCAGTTGGCCCAAGGGCTGCTGCCACTTGGAGAGGTTTTGGGAGGAATTTCTGCCACAAAAGGCAAAAATAGGGCGAGCACTTAGGGACACTGAGGGCAGTTTGTCACTGTGTCCTCTGCAGTATTCTGTGTTTTCTTGCACACTGCTGGGTCAGTGGCTCTGACTCCCTTTCCTCCCTGTGTTCAAGCAAGAAAGACTATTTTTAATATGGTCACCCACATTCCTGTCTACATACTGGGTTTTTTTAAGCTTTGTTGCCATAGCAAGTGTGTAATGCTAATTGGTTTCTTGTGTTTCTGCATGCTTCAGATTAGATATATGCAGGTAAGACATGAATTAAAATACTAGGCTCCATCCAGCTGATGGGTCCAAGCCATGAGTTCCAGCATGGTGTACAGAGGATGGTCATTATTGTGCATGGTCATTAATCACCTCCCAAACCCTAACACCTCCCAGCACGTGTTCTCAGCTCCTCTTTGCAAATGAAAGGGTGAGAAGAGCGGCTCCAGAAGTTGAGGCTTTGAGAAAAAGCATGTATGTGTGATCAGATCTGACCTAAAACCACGAGAATTGGCAGCCCTGGCAGGGGATTTGTATAAGTCTAACATATTATTTATGACCCATTTAGGCTCTGCTGTGAGTTTCATCTTAAGCAAAAAAAAAAGGAAAAATAAACCAACAAAACAAAAGCCAGAGAGAGAAAAAAAGCATTTATCTCTCATTTCTTCTTTAACTGATAATCTTTGGTGATGTAGTTGTTATAAATGGAAAAAAAGGCAATGCTGTCTGTGATGAAACATATTGAATAGCAGAGCCGAGGTCTCTTCCTGTGTTTTTTGGATAAAAATTCTTCCCTTTAACCTAAACCAATGACAGTACTCCTCTGCCTTTCCTAACCTGCACTTGTTCTGACTGTGCCAGCACTGGAGGCAGAACTGGAGCTGTGCCACCCTTCAGACTCTGACCATGCGTTGTTTTAACTTTCTCTAGAAAATGGGCATGACAGAAGATGACAAAAGGAATTGCTGTTTGCTGGAAATCCAAGAGACGGAGGCCAAATACTACAAAACACTCGAAGACATCGAGAAGGTAAGCGCTGAGCCATCCTTTCAATGCCAAACCCTTCCACCTCATCACTCAGTCCTGCATCAGTCGTGCTGGGGTGGTCGTTGCACGGGAGCTGGCTGATGTGACACAGCAGCATCGATGCTCGCGTGTAAAACCGCAGCAGGAGGAGGAGATGGGGAACACATCCTAACAAGAACAAACGTGCGGTCAGAGGCAAGCAGTGCATTTCTTTCTGATTGGAAATAGATTGAGAAATTCCATATTTTGTTCTCTTGCCCCTGGGTCTGAGCTCCAGCTCAGTGTGGCAGAGGCTTCTCTCTGATCAGAGCCGGGTTGCAGACAGCTTATCGCTTTGGTTGCTGCTGGGTGATTCGATGGTTCCTTTCTTCTGGGCGCTTTTTAGAAGTGCTGAAGCTGCTCCAACTTGTCATTGAAACTAATTGGATTAAAAGCAACGTTGCGCTGCTCGAGTTGCTGGGTTTTAATTGGTTTTGATAAACGATGGTTGGGCCTTTCTTTGGGAAATAAAATGAATGGTGGAGCTGTGGGTGCTGCCAGAGCCCGGAGGTGATTTTGGCTCCAAGAAAAGTGGCAGGAATAGAGAACAATAGGGAAAATGAAACTGATGTTTCTCAACACTCCAACCCTTTTGTTTCCCCTTTTTGTAATGGTTTGCCTCTATCTGCAACCTGAGCGCAATCAAATGACGTTTCCCATTTTCCAAGCCAATATCCTGATGTGTGTAAATAGTGCTTTTTCTTTGAAAGTAGTCATAAACCTTCTGTTTTGGTCAGGTTGCTGCTTTGATATTCCTTCGCAAAGGCTTGTGGAGGAGTTGCAGGTTCCAATGGCATATTATGGGCTGCAGGATCCTGTCTGCAGAGCGTTGAATCTGGGCTTTTTGTAGTTAAAAGCAATGTAGGTATTTGTCCAGAAAGGCATTTCCAATGTAATCCTATCAGCTGCTCTTTTTCAAGGGCAAAACTCTTGTGAGAGATACAAAGAGCTGAAGAGATAAGTTGGAGCTCCTCACAGCTGCAGCTGAGGATTGAAATGTGGTGGAGAGTCCATCAGATTCATCATAAAGAAATTAAAAATATACACCCAAAACCAAAAAAAACCCCCACTTATTCACTCTTGACTTCCAATCCCCCTTTCCTTTGCCTCCTGCAGAATTACATGAACCCACTGAAGCTGGTACTGACCCCACAAGACATGGAAGCTATCTTCATCAATTTGGAGGTAATGGCACAAACTGCTTTCAGTCTTTGCTCTTTTTGTGGCAGCTCAGCTTTCATCCTGCTTAGGTAAGGCTTTCAGATTGCACGTTTCTTGGTGTGCTCTTCTGGATAGGTTCAGCCCTTTGTGTGCTGAGTGGCTTTAAAAGATATTTTTAGTGCTCATTTTAAAGTTAGGGTTTATATAAACTCTAGGTAAGGAACTAATTGTATGAGGTGGATGTTGCAGAGCTGAGCCTTCACCTGTCTGTGTTTTACAAAGTACTTAGCAAGTGCTTTGGGAAGACAGCTGGGCTGTTGCAGAATTAAAGCCTGATGGGTATGCAGGATGGAGTGAAGCACAGAGCCCTCACTGGGCTGAGCACACTGTGGGCTCCATTGGTTTGCCCTGCTCATGGGCCAGTAGCTGTGCACAGGGGGCTTCAGTGCCGCTCTGTTGGTCCCACGTTGCATCTTATCGTGGGCTGCCCTCACTAGGATGGCTTATTTTAAAATCAGCTGCATAGAGAGCATGACTGCCTGAGGAAGAGGTGAGCGTGCCCTTCTGTTTGCCCACTCGCTTTGGGTTTGTGTAAAGTATTGATTGTTTCTTTGTTTTAGGACCTAATTAAAGTGCATTTCAATTTCCTGCGAGCCATCGATGTCTCTATGATGTCTGGAGGAAGCAGCCTGGCTAAAGTATTTCTGGAATTCAAAGAGAGGTAAAAGGAAACACAGCCTTCAGACAACTCCAGTTTAACAAATCAGGGCTTTGAACTGTAGGATTCATTTTGGACCATGAGGTGCATCTCAGCACAGCAATTTCCTATCAGTCGTTCAGCAGCTTGGTGCTGTAGCATCACCAGGTGCCTGCACTTAAATACAACATGTGGACAGAGGTGGCTGGGAGGGGATAAAGGTGGGGACGTTATGTTTGTGGTGGTCCAGAACGGAGCAAAGCCTCCTCACCTTCATGGGCTTTAGCACTGTCTCCTCCTGCAAACCTTGCAGGGGCTCGAGGGCAGGATCTGTCCTTGCTGGAGACGTCTGTCTGGTTAGATCAAAGCAAGGGTTAGCTATAAAAAATAGTCATGTCTGGCATTGGTGTTGTCCAGTGCATGATGAGTAAGTGTGAAAGTTGCTTTTGCAAACATAATAGGTTCTGTGTTTTGGCAGCTGCAAGGAGGAGTGTCCCAGAACACAAAGATAAGGTTAATAAAAGTCTTTAATATTCTTAATACTAATCAAAGGCCTGATTCATTGTGGACTCATGCCAGGGTTTTATTTCACCGTGCTTAAACCAGTGTCTAGACATAGAAATGCCATTCAGAAGTCAATAACTCCAGAAATACCGTCTGCATTAATAATACACCGTAAGGTCAGATATTCCATGGCTCACAGTGCCTCTTTTAGAAAGCAAATGCTTTTGAATTAAATAAAAAAAAAAAAAAAAAAGGGTCTGGAGAAGAATGCAAGTAACTCAGAAATGCTTATAAAGCTCATTTAGGTGGTTTTGATCTCCGCATTCCTGGCACAGCTTTGTGCACACCAGTGCTCTCCCCGGGCAGGAATCTCTTCCTATGAGCACAGCAGGAATGGGGCAGAGCATCCCTGAGAGTTTGGCCACAGCAGAGGTGGTGCCACACTTTGAAATGTTGAGAACTTGCTCCAATGTCACCAACAAAAGGACCCCAAAAGCCAGCTCTTGGGGTTGAATCGTTTGGAGCAACCTGAGCTCAATCAGCAAGGCCCTCTCCTTCTTGGGGAAAATCCACAGGGAAAAGGGACACAGTCCCATTATAGCAAAGAGATGGGAGGCAGGAGGAGAGCTCATCTGGGGAGGTGCTGTTGCCCCACTGGAAGTGTCTTTCAGAGTCCTGTTGGGTCCCTGTGCCGAGGACCTTCCTTCTCATTTGATGTACCTGTGACAAAGGGCTCTTGTTCCCATCCGTGTCCTCAGAGACATCCCATCAAGATGATGCACTGCTCCGCTGCTCTGCAGAGCTCTTTAAAAAGGAGCTGGTTTGTAACTCTTCATGTGAAAGCTGGGGCTTTGGAGTTATGCTCCCAAAGCCTCTTTGAGGCTCTCCAAGTGCTGGCAAGCCAGATACCATTGCGAGTGTTCAGAAGTTGTCAAGGGGAGAAGGCAACAGACTGATCTGCGTTGGCTGCAGGTTGGTCGGGGTGGCACAACCCATAAATCTCCCAATTCAGTTACTGCTGGGTGTGAGTCCCGTGCTCGTGGAGCAGCATCAACCAGGTGCTGGGTTCTGTCTCCCTTGAGAAGAAGGGCCCTGAAATAAGGGATGAGTTCCAGCGAGTGATGGAATATGTGTCTTATCAGCAGCAATACAGTTAGCAGCGGGGAAAGGGGGGGAAGGACCTAAACCTGTCGTGCAGGATTAATGAGCAAAATGGAGAAGGAGGGGGAATCCAGAGCAAAACTGCTCTGTTGCTGTCAGGTGTTTAGATTTATAGCCCAGGGCATCCTTACAGAGCTCTGCTGTGCTGCCAAAGGCTGTCACCAGCTGCTGTCACCACACCACCCTCTCCTTGCTCAGTGCACACCTTGTGAGGAGCACACGATGCACTGCTGTGCATGTGGAGCTCTGCTGGGGCACATCCAGCTGAGTGTCCCTGGGCTTCAAGGGGGGTTTTGAAGCCTCTTGTTCCCTTATTAGGTTCAATAATTGCCACCATAGCCATTCTGGGTGCTGCTGAAGCACCTTGCCTTTGTGTTTGGTGAGGCATTCAGAAATGCCAGTGAGAAATGCTCTTGGGAACTGGATTTTCATTGGATTTTTGTGGATTTTTGGTGCAGGGAAGCTGTTTTGCTCGCTTGCACCCTTGCTCTGCCTTTGCAAACCATGGCGTGGCATAGCCAAAAATGCAGAGCATCGCCAGCAGGGAGGCACGGAGCTGATGAAGACATCAGATGGATTATAGCAGCAAAAGCCAACTTGCAGCAAGGCATGTGCTTGGGCTGCAGGGGTCAGTGCTCCCTGCTCTGTGCATTTCACAGAACAGTCAGCAATGCATTGGGTTTCTCTGAGCCCTTGCAGTATCCTGCAAGCCCTGCGCTGTGCAGCTGTGGCTGCAACATCTGCTCAGCCCCAGCTGCAGGAGGACAGGGCATGAGGCTGGCTGGAACCCAGAAATCTGGGGATATCATCAAATCATTTGAGTCGGAAGGGACTTTTAAAGACCATCTGGTCCCACTCCCTGCAGTGAGCAGGGACAACCACAGGGTGCTCAGAGCCCCTCCAGCCTGACCTCGTAGCACCCACAGAACTGGGGCTGCAGAACCCCTTTTGCTGAACTGCCCTGACAGCCTCCAGCCCTGCGAAAGACTTCAGCATTAAAAGTGCTGCAGTAAAAGAGTGCTAATACTTTGCTAAGAAGCGACATGGGGGAGTTGCCATTCGCCTTGTCCTCTCGCCATATATACATACATAGATCTTTTATAACAGGTTATAACAGCCAGCAAGTGTTTCCAATTACATTTGCCATTTCCCCCTCTCCAGGCTGCTGATTTATGGCAAGTACTGCAGCCACATGGAGTACGCCCAGAACACACTCAACCACCTCATCGCCAACCGGGACGACGTGAGGCAGAAGGTGGAGGTGAGCAATTGGGGGCACCCAGGGCACCCATTCACCCCAAAGCCCTTTTGCTGGGGAGCAGGACAGCGTAAGCTGACCCAGATGCCCTAGAAGGGGTGCACTGTTTTTTCCCCAGTTTTAGTCTAGACACTAATATGTATTTGCTGGGCTGTCTGTGTACTTTGCCTTGCTTTCTGCAAACGCCCCTTTACTCTTTGGGCAGCAGCCCAATTTGGGGTGAAGGCTCTGTCTTTTTAAGTATCTTCTCTGGGTTTTGCATCAGCTCTGAGCCACGTGCTCTGCGTGCTGCAGCAGCCTTCCCTTGCCCTGTGCTTCTTGCTTTTTTCCCCCTGGCCCACAGAAGCCCTCAGCTAACACAGCACAGTCTCATATTTAAATGGGTCTGGGTGAAGGCAGCAGTGCAGAACTTCATGCGATCACATTAGCCTATCTTAATGACCTAATCCTTATCAGCGAAGCCACAGCAACTGTCTGCGTGCTTGCTTTGAGCCCCCCACAAATAAAATGCATGCTCTCAAGCCATGGAGGAGGTGAGTTAAGCTAATGTGTTTCATTTGACATTTCCCGAGGTCTGGGAGCACTGCCTGCCCTCCTAATGAGCAGTATCTCATTAAGCTGCAGTAGCTCAGCTGCATGAGACCACTGTGCTGTAGGGCCCAGCCCCTGTGAGCTCCTCCTCAATAACAGAAGCAAAATGTTGCATCCGTGGGGCTTTGGGGGATTCTTATGGGGGGGGTGGGCTGTCATCGTTCTCCCCCAGCTGCCGCTCTGCTGACGTATTGATTTCTCTCCCAGGAATGCACGCTGAAGGTTCAGGATGGGAAATTTAAGCTGCAGGATCTGCTGGTGGTTCCCATGCAGAGAGTTCTGAAATACCACCTCCTGTTAAAAGTAAGCGTTTCAGCTTTAGCACTTCTCTCCAGCTGCCATCCTGGTGTAGCAACTTCAGGCTTTGATGCCGGAAAGCGAAGCATTGCCAGATGCACGGGGAGGGTTTGTTCTCCCCTTTTCAAATGAAATAATTACGAGAGCTCCTTAACGCGCCGCAGTATTTGTGCCGTCTCTTAAAGCATGGTGACCTGGGGTAATTCTGCACTTGTTAGCCACGAGAGGCACTTAATGAATATAAAATAAGCTTGCATATAATCTGATTATGTGTGAAATTCCTGCCGTCAGCTCTGCAAAAGGGAGCTCGGCAGCACCAGCACGTTGGCTCCAGCCCCGTCCCATTGCCAGCACAGCAGCTGCAGACCTGCAGATTGATGCACGGTGCTTTCCCCATGTACCCACGTGCTTTTGTGTTTCAGGAGCTGCTCAGCCACTCATCAGACCGGCCTGAGAAGCAGCAGCTGAAGGAGGCTCTGGAAGCAATGCAGGTACAGCAGACTCGTGGGTGGACAGACAGTCCAGCATCGTGGGGAAGGCAGCTCTCCTTTAGGGCACGTGTGTGTGGATTGCTGTTTGATGCGATACACTCCCTGCTGTGCACTCCAAACTTGCAGCAGGATCACTGTCAGCAGAATTCAGCCCATTAAATCCAGGTTTTCTCTCTCAAGAGCATTGCAGGGTTCATCCCTGGCCTTGATTGTTTGCTCTGAGGTCACTTTGTTTTCTACCTCTTGAACCTCAGCTTTTTAGTGACGCTGCATTTCCCACAGTTACATAACTTTGGTGACCTTTTTAGCCACTGTCCCTGCAAGCCAATGAGTCCAAGCCCATATGTAGGTCATTCTAGTTAGGATTGAAGGACACTGCATTCCCACTCCACTGCTGAACAGTACAGCCTCAAACAACCATGCTGGGAGAGGGAGAAGGGATTCCCTCTGGTGCCACAAATCCCCACTCCCTTGAAAATGTCCTTCCTGGCTGATGAGACAAAGCAGCAGACCTGGTGACAGCTGTTAAACCCTGCTTATGGCCCCGTAATGCAGCACCCACTGCTGCTGCTGCTGATAAATAAATGGATGCAGTCTCTGCTGCAGAGTCAGCATTTTTGGGAGGAAGCTGCCAATAGTCATCAGAGAGGTTTGTTTGCTTTCTTTGCCCCATTACAAAGTGCTGGGCTAGCCAAGGGGCGTAGGAAGCAGAGCGGTTTGATTTTAATTGATTTGTAAACCAGGGCTTAACTTACAGTAGTGCTCTCCATCAAGATTCCAGCCTTTCTGTCTCCTTTGCTGGCGGACGTCGGTGCCCTATGGGGTGAGCTGTGCAGGGGGTGGGTATCCACAACTGGAGCTGCCCTTCCCAAAGGGCTTCACTCCCTTTCACTTTGCATATGTCATCATTAGCACAGGGAGGGGGCAGGAGTTGCACCCAGAGGCTGCAAGTGGTGCTTGTGTCGTCCCTACACTTGAGCACAGAGGGCTGAACCCCAGAGGATGGGGATAACCCTACACACCCAGCCTGCACGTTGCTGCTTCAAGTCACCAACAGCCCTGGAATTGGGTTTCCCTTTTGCACACAGGATGGTCTGCTCAGGAGGAGGGAACAGCCGAGCACTGATGGAGGATGCTGACCTCCATTCGTGAGGCTTTTCCTTTTGTTGTTCTTCATAAGCATCCCTGGCTCGGGAGTTTGGTGATGTTCTAAGTATTGTCATTTCAATCAGTGATTATCATCTGTGATTAACCCTTCCTGTGTTGGGAAGCTGGGGAAGGTCTCGCCTGGAGGGGATGCCTTAAAAAATTCCGCTCTCAGATTTAATCCAAGATGACGAGGAGCTCTTGCTGAGGGCGAGGAGACAGGGAGCAGATAGGAAAATAGGGAGGTATGGTTGGAAGGATGTAAGAAGTTGTAGTTGAAGGGGATGGGTTCTTTCTCTTTGGGCCAACGTTTGGGCAAGCAAAGGGTTTTTTTCAGAGAAGAGCAAGAACCACAGAGTGTCTCCTCATTTTACAAAATTGTCATTGCACGGTTGGAAATTCTACTATAGGACAGAGGTGGGTGTTTTGATAATGAAAATGGCTCAGAGCTCTTTTCCCAGGGGGATGAAGGGAATTAGGGTGAGCTGAGGTTCTTGCTGCTTGGGCTCACAGCAGATATATGCCATGCTTTGGGTTACTGGGTTCATGCATTGCCCTCTTATGGGAAATGGGAGAAACTGCAGCAGAAATGTTCCTGCATTGCCAGCACAGCACACACCGAGGTGCTGGGATGCAGCTCAGGGGCACAGGCAGCCACAATGGATCCCAACATGGGCTCCTTTGCTTCATTTGTAATCACTTGTAACACAGCAGAACTCTGTTGGGCTGCTTTTCCTTTTTGTCTGGTGTTGCCTGTGATGGCAGCATCCTGTGCTGCTTGGGTTCCTGCAGTGCTGCTGCTGGTCCAGCTCCCAAACAGACGCAAGGAGAAAGAGTGGGAACACAGCCCAGCTGCTATATTGAAGGTGTTGGTTCTATTGGGGAAAACAAAAAAATCAATGCTCATTTTTCTCTTTAGGACTTGGCCATGTACATAAACGAAGTAAAGAGAGACAAAGAGACATTGAAAAAGATCAGCGAATTTCAGAGCTCTATAGAAAATCTGGTAAGTTGGAAGATCCTCCTCTCACTCCCAACTTTGATTAGATGATCATTAACATGACTGCTTCCTTCTGTGCACTTATTGCTGAGTCTGATGTGCTGCCTCAAGTAACATCACTGCGTGTTTCTCTGGTCCCTGGCCACTGATAATATTTTGGCTGTTGGTATCAAAATGGTGGCTTTACCAAAAAAGAAAAAACAAACTCGCTGTGAAATAGACTGGATGAAAACACTGAAAGCATTCCTCCAACTTTCTCATGTTATCAGTAGGGAAGGGAATCCAAGAACTCCCCCAAAATAGGTACCTGTCTGCTATCTAATGTAAGTATTTGATTGGAATTGGTAAGACAGAATGGTAGACTGGACATTCCTGCTCTTGAAAGCATAACAAAGCCTATCTGGAAAATGGCATGTACAATACACACCTCACCCCAAAATCTCAAGGAGATCACAGATTCATTAAGGTTGGAAAAAACCTCTAAGATACCAACCCCAACCCATCCCACCGTGCCCACTGACCATGTCCCAGTGCCACATCTCTGCAGTTCTAGAACACCTCTGGGGATGGGGACTCCCCCACTTCCTTGGGCAGCCTGTGTCAGTGCCTGACCACTCTTCCTGAGGATGCATTTTAAGGAGAATCTCATCTTCCAAACTCCAGAGGTCTCAAACTTGCAGTCCCATTGCCATGCACCAGCCAGCCTTCCATGCCCTATCACTTGTGTGCTCATAGCCCTGAAGAAGCCCATCCATTTAATGCTCAGAGCTGCAGGCTGATAAGCTTTATCCCCTATGTGGGGTGGGAGGGGAGGGCAGGGCAGCTATGGGCACAGCTGCTCTGCAGTCCCACTTTGCATTGGGGTAATGCAATTTGGGGTCTGACACCTGAGATGCTCCAAAAGGACCGAGGGAGGGGAGATGCTGAGCAGTGCCCACCCTGAGGGCTTCCCAAAGATGTGGTGGCTTTGGGTTCTTTGAGCCTGGGCTTCGTTTGAGAACAATGAACTTTTAATTGATGATTATTGAACAGATGGAGAGAAAATCCTTAATTTTGTAGAGAAACCTGCAAAAATTCTCAAGTGGGATACGGGTCATTGGAGCCCATGGGTTTTGAAGCAGCCGTGATAATCCTGATCCACATGAACAGTCAGACAGCCTGCTCCACAAGGCTGTGAATGCAAATGGGGGCAGCGAGCAGCTCCCTCCTTCGTGCAGCAGGTTTGATGTGTGGGAGATGAGATGTTAACAAAGCAGCGGCTCTGTCTGCTGATCAATCCCACGCACGTTCCGCTCAGCGTTTCCTTTTGTTACAGTGGACTGGAAGTTGTGGAGTGGTTGGTGTTGTGTATACAGAGCCCACGCGGCACAGCAATGAGTGCAGGCTGTACATGCAGCTGCATACAATATTCCTTTTTTTATCTTGATTTTCCTGACGAGTGGTGCTTCTTCACCATGGGTTTTCCCTTGTAAGCAATGTGCAAGCGAACTGATGCATGGGGTTCAGCAATGCATGAGGGCTTTGGAGCTGAAAACCCAATTGACCAAACCGTTGGGTTGGATGCCAGCCTGTCAAATCCCCAGTCTTGGTTCAGGATGGGAATCAAAAGTAAAGAGCCCTGGCTCTGCTTTTGTAGGAAACCCAAAATTAATTTGTGGGCTTTTGCATTCTGGATCCCAAATCTTGCATAATTGCCTGGATTTGTGAGCCCTGCTCTGAGGTGGGTGCTCTCCTGACTCTGAGGTCAGGGCCCTGCACTTGAGGAGTTTGGATTTTGGTGTTCCTAAGCCCACTTCTATCTGCAGGTCTCACCTATGCGTTGCTTTCTTGCAGCAAGTGAAGCTGGAGGAGTTTGGGAGGCCGAAGATAGATGGTGAGCTGAAGGTCCGCTCCATCGTGAACCACACCAAGCAGGACAGGTGAGAGAACAACAGCATTCTCCTGAGAGAGAAATGTGCTGGGTACATTAATCCCTAACAAAAGCACATCCCTGCTAAGGTGACAGCCAGAGGAGCTGGCTTGCAACCGCTGCTCTGTGTTGGAAGTTGTAGGAGTGCACACTGACAGAAAGCACATCAGTGTGAAATCACAGCACTCAGAGCTGCCCCAGCTGGGGATGCTCTGCAGAGCTCTCCACGTTCTCCCTCAGAATGGGGACCTCAGTTTGCTTGCTTAACCAGCTTGCTTGTTTGCTTGCTCTGGGCAGGTATTTATTTTTATTTGATAAAGTGGTGATTGTCTGCAAAAGGAAAGGATACAATTATGAGCTGAAAGAAATTATCGAGCTGCTCTTCCACAAGATGACCGATGACCCTATGAACAACAAGGACATTAAGAAGGTAGGTGGAGTGGAGGTCAGCTCTGCCAGAGAGCATTTTGGAGCTGCTCTGGCCAGTCCTTGGGTAGCAATGTTCCCAGCAGTCTTTTTAAATAGAAACAGTGCTTGCAAAATACTGGAACATAAACAGTCAGCTGGCAGGACAGCCTTACAGAGTTGGGAAATGCTTAGGTGTACAGGGCTGGGCTTGATCCTCTGACCTCCATCTGTGCAAAACAGCCCTGGAGAGGATGGGTGGGAGAGAGGAGGGAGAGGAAGGCAAGGGGATGGCAGCCCTGCTGCCAGCTTGCCAAAATCAGTTCAATGAATGCAGCTGCCTCTGAAGGAGCAGCATTTTGCTGGTGTCCAGCTATCAAAGAGGCAGGGACTTGTGTGTAGTTAGATGTTGTATGGATGGGATGCATGACATTGGGTATGAAAAGCCTGTTTTGCCACTTGGATGCTGAAGAAATGCTGCTAGCTTTGTGTTTTAATGCAATATATTTCCTCTTTGCTCTCTAATGCTTTCTAGTCTCATGGAAAAATGGTAAGCAAAGCACGCAGTTTTCTCTCATGTTTTTCTGTGCAGAGTTGTAATGAGACAGGCAGAGCATATGTGTGTTGTGCAGGTCAGGTGATCCTCTTGGGCTGTCAGTTGTTGTCAGGGGGAGAGAGAATGGCTGGGGAGGATCTACTGGAGCAGAAAAATCCCACTTCTCTCATCTGCCACCATAAAATCCCATTTGGCCCTAGTGCACAGTGCAGGGTGGATTCAGGCATCATTAGCTGTGATGTGCTGCAGAGATAGAGTTGTTCTTCCTACTTCCCTACTGTTATCCTTGCAAAGGTGCAGAGAAAAGGGGTAGGTGCTGAGAGCAGCTCTTGAGAAGTGTGAATAAAAGCTCAGGAGCTGCTCAGGTGCTGGGAGTGCAACGATGCGATCGCTTCTTGTTTCCTCTTGCAGTGGTCGTATGGCTTCTACCTGATCCACCTTCAGGGAAAGCAGGGCTTCCAGTTCTTCTGCAAGACGGAGGAGATGAAGAGGAAGTGGATGGAGCAGTTTGAAATGGCAATGTGAGCACTGGGCACGGGGCGAGGAGCGTTGGGCTGCTGGAGAGCAGCTCTGGTGGCAGAGCTCCCATGGAAAGATGGGACTCTGTGTGAAGGGAGGCAGGGCCCAGCATGAAGTTATCCCCCGAGTGTTTGCCCCAGAGCTTGTTTCCAAACATGGACTGAAATGCAAACAGACACCACGAGTGGCCATGAGCACAGAAGAGGTGATGGGGGCAGGTCAATAATCCCACTCCTTCCTGCAGGTCCAACATAAAGCCAGAAAAAGCCAATGCAAACCACCACAGCTTCCAGATGTACACATTTGAAAAGACCACCAACTGCAAAGCATGCAAGATGTTCCTAAGGTGAGCCATGCACTTCTTGCTGTTCTTCATTTGCAAACAGACCGAGGTAGGAGCTGAACTAACACCTTGTGATCTCCTTTTGCACAGAGGAACGTTCTACCAGGGCTATCTCTGCCCAAAATGTGGAGCTGGTGCTCACAAGGAGTGCCTGGAAATCATTCCTCCCTGCAAGATGGGTGAGTTACTTGGCCATGTCAGTAGCTTATGACATTGAGGTTAATGGATGTGAATGATCCCAAAGTTCAACCCCCTAAAGTGCTATCAGCTGCTTGTTAACAGCTAAAGAACATCTGATGATGCTGTCAACTGCCTCCCAGGGCTGCAGCTCATAGTGGTGGGTGGTTTCATAAGCAAATGGGCTGACCAAACCACCAAAAATCAAGGACAGAACCAACCCAGGCTCTTCTGTGGTGACCCAGCACAGCACTGGTGCTCTGTGCCATGGGGGATTCTCATGGAGCAGCATCAGAGGGGGTGTGAAATCTCAGAGCTTGGTGCAAGTGAGACATCCATGCCCAGTGCTGATCTCCTCCCACCAAGTGTGGAGCTGAGGAGTGACCCCACAACCCCCCTCCTTGGTCAGGTGTTGATGCTGCTTTATGGATCCTCGTGGCATCAAGGAAAGCAGAAAATGGGTTTGCTGCCTGGTAAACTAATGGCCTATTTCAACATTTCTCTTGCAGGCTCTTCAGCAGACCAGGTAAGTTGTTTGAGGACCGTTTCCCCACATCCCTCCCTCTGTCCTTGCCTGGCCTGGTGCTCAGCTCATGGTGGGGCACTGGCAGAGGTCTCAGGGGTCCCAGTAATTGGGGGCAGGATGGGAGACCGATGGCTAAAAGTGGCCCAGTCTGCATGACCAGGGGCTTCAGAAGGTGCCAACACCCAGCAGAGCCAGGGAGGTTTCCTATCCTGATGTTTTCAGATGGGGAGAGCTGGGACTGCTGTGTCCTCATGGGAATTTTTCCTCTCTCTTTGCAGGATTTGCTGAGTGCTGGACCTGGTAAGGGCATTGCTGCGTTGCAAGAGGGCATCTTGATTGCAACTGGAGGTGTCATAGAGGCTTGGGCACATGGGATGTGGGGAAAACTCCTTCTGAAATTGGAAATAAGAGCTGATTGCTGCAGGAATGGGATCCTCCTGTTCCCCAAGGCTTTGGCACTGCTCAAGTCAATAACTTGACTTGTTATTAGGGAGTCAATAACTCCCTGCTCAGACAGAGGAAGGCACAGACATCTTCCTCTAATGCAAGCCACGCTCTCCCTGGCAGAGCAGCTCAGTAGTGATAGAACATGCCCATGCCCATGCATGATGCGCTGCCCTCTGGTGGGAACCTGAGTCACTATGGTTGCTGCAACCTCTTTTGTATATTTATTTTATTTTTCTTCACACCAACCTGATCAGAGTGCTGGGCTGCCCTGCCCGTGTTCTGTCTCGAAGAAGAAGGAACAATTTGTTTTTGTGCTTTTCCTGTCGGAAGGAAAGCCTGGCAAAAAAGAAACCGAATCAGATCATTGGTTTGGAAACACAGCACAGTGCTCCCGCTGGGTGGGGAGAGGCAGCTGGCAGCAGAGGTGGGGAAGCAATCTGAAGGCAAACACAGTGGTTGTAGAGCACTGTGGGTAGCTCTGTTTAATGTGTGATTAATTAAAAGACAACTGGACTTTGGCTGCAAACTACTGGGTTGGAGAAGTGCTTTCTGGGCCCCGCTGCAGCCCAGCACAGAGCACATGGTTGCAGACATTTTGCTGATCCCTTTCATTTTCATGCTTTCTGCCCCAAACACCTGCCTGCTGCTGTTAGATCTGCAGCTCACGGGACAAAGAACAGCAGGAGGTGGGAGGTTATTGTCATTTTGCTTTTCTTTAGCAGGGATGAAACTGCTTTGCATCTCCCCCAGGTCCTAAAATGGTTGCAGTGCAGAACTACCACGGGAACCCTGCGCCGCCTGGCAAGCCAGTGCTGACGTTCCAAATTGGAGATGTGATCGAGCTGCTGAGGGGAGACCCCGACTCGCCTTGGTGGGAGGTGAGGGCCCTTCCCTCAGAGAGCTGCTGGCACGTTTTAAGCCATTGTCATCTGCATTGTCCCTTTGTCACATCTTCTGTAGCGTGGGGACGGGCTGCACGGTGCTTGGGAGCTGCATTAGGGTTTGTCCTCATCCATACATTGCTCCTCTGTGCACCCTGCTGATCCCCAGCTCTGTGCTCTGCAGGGGCGGCTGCTGCAGACCAAGAAGTCAGGTTACTTCCCCAGCTCGTCTGTAAAGCCCTGCCCCGTGGATGCCAGGGTACGTGTGTGGCTGTGGGTCGGTTGAGAGGGATTCCTGCTTCATTCCAGGGGGCATGAGATGCCCTGGAGGGTCCTCGGCTCTCCCCAGTCTTTTTTACTGCATGCAGCAGTGCTGTCAGCTTACTTCCCAATTAAAAAAGGCTTAAATAAATGAAAAAAGCACAGCACATTCATCCACAGCTATTTTTTTTGGGGGGGAGGCTAAGGGAGAAGCACTCAACCCTGCCCTGCACCCCCAGATCTGGTGGCTCTGAAGCTGCCTGGCAGAGCTCCTCCCATGGATAGGAGCACCTCGTTAGGTGCTGGGCAGTAACGAGCAGTGCTCTCTTTGCAGCCTCCCAACAGTCGTCCACCGTCACGGGAGATCGACTACACGGTGTACCCATGGTGAGTGGCACAGAGATGTGTCAGCTTTGGTTTTAATTGTTGCTTTGTCATCAACCTGTGCCAACACAGAGCTGTGAGTGCACCTTGGTGTCCAGGCACTGAAATCCACAGTGTCCATGGGGATTTCATCGTTGAGAAAATGACTTGGGAAGGGAAGATGCAATTTGCAGGAGGGAAGGGAAGATGCACCTTGGCAGGAGAGGTTGTGATTCCATTTCCTCTCGCCTCCTCCTGCTGGCACCATCCAGGGTTTCAAGTTCATGAGTCTAAATTACCCTGAGTCTAAGTTATTCCAGCTCCCATTGAAGCCTCCTTCCTCTGGGGACCAATTCCCAGCCAGTGGGGTTTTCTAGGTGCCCTGGAAACATGAGGGACTTAGAACCAGAGAACCATTTGAGTCAGAAGGATCCTTTAAAGGTCACCTAGTGCTATGCCCTGCAGTGAACAGGGACACCTACAGCTCCTTCATGGTGCTCAAGGTCCATCCTGACCTCAGCCTGTCCTCACAGGGGATGTTCCATTCCTTGGAATGCCCTTCAAACTGCATTGCCCATTACTCTTTATTCAGTGGCAGTGGCTGATTCTGCCTCTGAAGGACTGGATCTGTTTCTCTACTTGCCCAACCTTCTCACCTTTAATAATTAAGAGAGATACGCACCTTTTTGCCTAAAATACGCCAGTGCTTGAAGGAGGCCGAATCCTAGCTCACAGATGCCCTGGGGAGGCAGCTGGCCCTGGGATGCTCAGCCTCTGTGGCTCAGGTTTGCAGGGAACATGGAGCGGCAGCAGACGGACAACCTGCTGAAGGCCCACGTCAGCGGCACCTACCTGATCCGTGAGCGGCCAGCCGAGGCTGAGCGCTTTGCCATCAGCATCAAGTGAGTGCAACCTCATGGGGCGCACGGATCGTGACCCCAGGAGCACCAGCACACCTTTTGCTGAGCGTCTCTGCGTCCCGTTGTAGGTTCAATGAAGAAGTGAAGCACATCAAGGTGGTGGAGAAGGACAACTGGATCCACATCACGGAAGCCAAGAAGTTTGAAAGCTTGTTGGTATGTCCTTGAAGCCCTTTGGGAGCACAGCGGGCTGATGCCAATCCTGCAGAGCATCTCCCAGCCACAGCCCCCGTGTGCTTTGCAGGAGTTGGTGGAATACTACCAGAACCATTCGCTGAAGGAGAGTTTCAAGCAGCTGGACACGACGCTCAAGTACCCATACAAGTCACGGGAACGCTCTACCTCCAGGACCTTCACCCGCTCTCCAGGTAGGACCCATCTCAGCCTCAGTGCTGCATTTCCAATGGGAAACCTCACCCGTTCTGTGGGGCGTGGGCTCGGTCTGAGTGGGGATTTGCAGCCTCCCAGCAGCTCTTTGCTGCCTTTCCCCTCGCGCTGCCCCACTGTGCTCAGCGGAGATTTGCTGAAGTGCAGAGAGATGTGTGGCAGCTTTGGTTGGGTGCATTCAGGCTGTCCTGCCCATGTCAGCTTGTGTGTGGGGGGTCTGGTTGCAGTGTCTCTGGTGGGGTTTGAATCCCACAGGGACTCCTTTAATGGGGCTGATGGGGGAAATGGAAAATCGGAGCTTAAAAGCAAAAAAAAAAATGAAGGAAATCAGAGCAAATGGAGAGCAAAATCTGTGCTGTTGCAAAGCATTTGGTTTTGTCTCAAAGGCCGGGAGCAGAAATTGGAGGGAAAAAAAAATGTTTAAAACCTTTTCCATGATATTTTATAAAAATGCTACCGATGGAAAATAGTTTTTGAAAGTTGATCAGACATCTTTTCCATTTGTGCACACCCCTGTGCCCTGGGCAGCGGCTGCACCTGCCATGGCTGCCCCAGTTCTGAGCGTGTGACCTCTGCATGCCCTGCCCTGTATTTCCCCATTGGCTTTTACAACGTTGTGCATTACGATTTTCTTTTATTTTAATTTCCTTTTTAATGCGTGTTCTGCATCTTTCTGTTTCTCTCTTAACCTCTTTGCAGCCTCCTGCGCTTCCTACAACTTTTCTTTTCTCAGTCCTCAGGGCCTCAACTTTTCTTCTCAGAGCTCCTCCAGTCCCTTCTGGTCAGGTACCCCATGGAGAGACCCACAGCATCCCCAGCTTGAAAGCCATCACAGTGGGACCTGCGTGGTCCCTGCTGTCCCTTCTGCACCCACAGGCAGCTCTGAGGGCCCTGGCCATGCCCTGCCAGTGGCTCAGCCTGGAAACAAGTGAATAAATCATGGCTTTGCAAAACGCAAATGCTCTTCCTAAAAATCAAAGCAGGAGTTTTTTGGATTGATTGGAACTGTTACTATTGAGAAAGGGTGCTTAAATCAGTGACAAACTCTGTCGCATTGGGATCTCATGATGTACTTCAAGCTCGACTTGCTCATCCCATCTGTTTCACCAAAGGAACATTGGCATCACACCAACTTCCAGCCTGGTTGTCCTTGCTGGCTAAGGAGAACATCTCAGTGTCCAGCAGTTTTTGAGCTCTGGGATCTCAGCCTGCTCAGGAGAACTGTGCTAACGGGGATGGGAAACCTGGGCTGTAAGTGTGTCTGGGGCTCAGGCTCCCCACAGTGGAGTTCTGGCTTTAAATGCATTGCAGACCAGTGTCTTCCTCCCTGTTTACAAGGGTTCAGAGCAAAAATGTGTCCTTTTTATGCTATTATTTGCCAGCATTTTCTTTTTGCTGGACAGGGAAAGCCATCTGCTGAGCCACATGTGTTTTCCCCTAAAGCTGTTGTTTGAGAACACAACTTTTCAGGGTATCAGGACATAACAGGGAATTTGGGATCCTTTAAGTGCACACAAACTGTGACTCTGTGCTGAAATGGGCTCTGAGCAAGCTCCTGATAAAAGAGCTCAAAGCTGTTGTGGTTCTTGCTCCATTCTCCAGCCTGGTGGGGATGGATGATTGCACGCTGTGTGTCTGCCTCTCCTCCATCGCCATCCTCATCTCCTTCCACCCCAGCAGCTGGAAATCTGGGCAAAGCTTTTCCTCAAGCTTAGTTCAACCTTGGTTTGCAAAATTAAAAAAATAAATAAATAAAAATTAATTAACAGTCAAAAATCCCAGGACAAAAAGGGACGTTTGATCAAAACCTGTTGCTTAAAGGTTCTAATTATTTTTTTCTTCTCATTTTGCAAACTCCACAAAAAGAACCTCCCCCCCCCGCTTGCCCAGGAGCACCCTGCAGTGATGTGGACTGTCCTGTACCTCTCTCCCTCTCCTCCAGCCCATCCCCACTGCTCCTCTGTGTGCAGTTCTCCAGCAATCTCCTCCCCATGCCCTCCACTTCCCTGCACGGAGCAATGGAGATGCACTGCTCAACATCTCTCAGAGAATCCAGTCCCAGTTTTGAGGTGGTTCAAACACAAGCTGACTTGCCAAATGCCTTTTGGCACGGTGGTCCCATCAGGAGTTATAAATGATGGAAAGGAAATTTTTCCATGATTCCACCATGAATAATTGTAGATTCCTTTGGAATCTTTCCTTTTGCCACCGCTTTCCCTTCTCACCAAATTGCCCCAGCAATGGGTCACAGCCCCTCCTGGGCAGCCATGTGGCTGTCTCAGCTCTGACCACGGGGCTCTATGACCCCAAGAGGAACCACTTCACCCCTGACCACCCCATTTCACATGAGACCAGAGCTGATGCAGGTCACGGCATTGCAATGGGAGCCAACGCCGTGGTGGAAAACCCAGGTTGAACCCCGTGGAGCTTTCCCCAGGCTTCAGCTGCTCCATGTGGTGGGGGCCAGTCCCAACACTTCTCTTTGTCCCCCTGCAGTGTTCACCCCACGGGTCATAGGGACGGCAGTGGCACGCTACAACTTTGCAGCACGGGACATGCGGGAGCTGTCGCTGCGGGAGGGCGACGTGGTGAAGATCTACAGCAGGATCGGCGGCGACCAGGGCTGGTGGAAGGGGGAAACCAACGGGAGGGTACGTGCACTTGGTGTCCCATCCCCTGTGCAACTGGTGTCCCATCTCCTTTCTACCACGTGGTCCATATCATGTCCAGACCTCTTCCTTAAGCTTGCATGCAAGGAAATTAATCATAGAATGATAGAATTGTTAATGTACTAATGTCCAACCGTTGACCCATTCCCACCATGCCCACTAACTGTGTGGTTCTGTGATTGGAAGCCACAATGGCCTGGGGGAAAGCAGCAAGCTGACGGCTTGCTCAGATGTCCCATAGGGTTTGCAGCACTGGGGACACATTCCTGATCCCTTCTTTATTGCAGCTACAGACTGAGGCAGTGTACAGTTGCTCTGAGTCACTGTGCAAATTTTGGTAGCAGCTGCATCTAAGAACTGCGTCACCTCCCCATCACTGCCACATGGCTGGGTCAGATAACTCAGCACGTGGTGACAGAGGAGCAGTCCCAAAGGTGGGACAGGAGCTCCCTGCTGCTCCCCACCGCTCAGCTCTCCATCTTCCCTCAGGTCGGCTGGTTTCCCTCGACGTACGTGGAAGAAGAGGGGGTGCAATGATGCTGGGGATGCCTCATGGAAAGTCATCGAGTGCCCGGAGCGATCCGCTGCAGACCACACGCTGCTCCCCCAGCAGCCCGGCCCCACGCCTGCCAACACTGCTGGGAGCACCACCGCTCTCCCCAGACTCTTTAGTAAATCCATTCCTCTGTACAGCATGTGTGTGTGCGTCGGGATGCCTCCAGCCCCGGCCCTGTTCTGTCTGTAGAAGATTCATGGTCTGTCGGATGACGTTTGTGCGGCGGCTGCTCCTGGGAGAGCCGCGCTCCCCTGAATGGACAGAGCGGAGGGACTCTGCGTGGTGCCCCCCAGGGGGGTATCCGGACCTTATTTTTTCCTAGAAGTGTTTTCAAATGGTGTGGCTGAAAGCCTGGGCTGTGCCCGGGGGTTCAGAGGTGAGCGTGCAGGGCTCGGGATAGGGACCGTGGCTGCATCATGTCGGGATGCACCTTGGGACCAGGGATGGAGCTGCTCATCCCTGAGGGGTGACAGCTGTGAGCTGGGGAGCACAGCTGGACCACGGACACGGGAGAGAAAAAAAGCCCCGTGGGCATCCCGAGCCCCTTTCCTCACTTCCCCCCCCAGACCCCACTGCCGTGCTGGGGGTGCATGGGGCAGCCCAGGACACTGGGTGAGCTGCTGGTGTTGCAGGGCTGGAGGTGTGCCTTGCCACGTGTGAGTTTTGGAGGTCACAGGGGCACAGGTCCCGGCGGAGGAGCAGATGGGAGAATGGATTGAGCACCTCGGCGAGGTCCATTTTTCTGCAGCCGTACGTGTCCCACCTCACTGAGCTCAGTGGGGCGAACCCACATGAGTAAGGGCTATGGTATGAAGTCCTGATTTATCTCAAGACATTGTGAAAGCATCTCTTCTTCTCCAGCTGTGTGCACTTTTGGGGGCCGAGAGCATTGCCCCCTCTTCTTCCCACAGGCTGTTACCGCTGCTGCTGTCAAGGAAAGGTCCGTCTGTCTGTGCATTGCCACTTTGTCCTGAGTTCCATCCATCCCAGTCTGTTCTTCCCACACTGCAGCCTGTAACGCATAGGCAGAGCTGCTGTTTGGAGAGCTGGGCTGGCATCTTCTGCTGGGCGCTGCCTTTGCCACCCAGCTCCAGAATTTCCTTCCAAAGTGCTGTTTTGAACAAATACATGTGTGTGCGTCTGTGTGTGTTTGTAGCGAGGAATGACTTTCCTATCTCTGAGCCTCGAGAAATGCCCTCCTGTCTCTGTGCATAAGTGGCATTTGGAGCTGCTGCTGTGCCCAAAGCTGTCCCTGGCATGGTGTAAAAGCAGCCCTGGGCGACACCAGCACCGTGCAATGCTGTGTCCCAGCCTTGCTGTCAGCAGAGCTTGAGGGATTACATGGGAGAGCCTGGGGATCCCATTGGAAAGGGCAGTGTGTTCACTTGGGAACACGGCTGTGTTGCTCAGTGAGAAGCCCAGGGCCAGATCAGTGTGTTGCCCAGGGCTCTGGATAGGGCTGGGAACGCGTTGGGTTCCTTGGGCTCACCACAGCAGTGCCCAGCAGGGTGAGGGGGCACAGTGCAGGGCTCGGGGCTTTAGCAAGGTACTGTTTGGTGCTAACCTCTTCCAGGCCAGCTATTGGTGCTTAGTATGGGATGTGTCCAAGGGGCCCTGTTTGCTAAAGGAGCTGAATGGTTCGTGCTCTGCAAGGGAAAAAATTGGGCTGCAGCAAATGAGGAGCAGGCAGTGCCCTGCTGCAGCGTGAAGGGCCGTGCTCAGATTTCCCCAATTTTGGTGTGCCTGAGAGCACATCTGATGTGGGCAAGACACACACAGACAAGAGAACAACTGATGGCCAAAGGTCTGCCTCAGATGCTATTAAAGCCCTATGCAACCCCCCCCCTCCCATCTGGGATGGATTCCCTGTGCCTGCACTGGGTGCATCCCACTCAGAAGGGCACGGTGTTCCCCCTGCAGAAGGTGTGTGTGTGACATCTCCTGCACAGCCCCCCAGGTCCAACCCCCCCAGCAAGGTCTCCCTCTCGTGTTTACTGTTGTAAGAAACTTGTTTAAAAAAAAAAAGAAAAAAGAAAAAAAAAAAAGATGTTTTTCGTTTGTAAGTAATTATTCAGCCATTTGCCATGATATATATCTGTGAATAAGAAGGAAAATGTGTTTGTTTGTTTGGTTTTTTTTTATGATGGCGAGAAAATTGTATATATATTTTAGTTCGTCGCGGACGTTCAGAATTGCAATGGGATACGTTGGAAAATAATATGTAAATTCCTTGGGTTTTTCCTTTGCACTGCACTAACGGGGGTCGAACGGGCTCGGGTGGAGGGGTCCAAAGGTAAAACTGTTTGTTTATGGGATAGGTTCTAGCTGGCAATTTGGAAATCATTTGGAGTAGCTTGTAATGCTGGAATAGAATCTTTAGCTGCTACTTAGAAACCCTTTTGCATGTGGTTCTTCCAGACCTTTTTAAGTTACAATACATCCAAGTAAATCCCACGATGAAAAAAAAAAAAAACCAAGAAAAATAAAGTGTAATTTTGCTGATAGCTCCTTTTATTTTTTTTGGCAGCCGTGGTTTTTATCACCAGTAAACCCACAGGAGAGGGATGGGGTTTGTGTTGGGCTTCTGTGGGGTATAGTGGGGATGGATCCTTCCTGATGGTTGGCATTCACACCCCACCTAGAACTGCATAGCTCAGCTGATCCCATCCTGCAGCCTCAGACCCAACGGGGCTCAGCCAGGGCAGCTCCCAGCAGCTGTTCCTCTGCAGCTGTCCCTCTCCCATTGGGGTGGCTGAGAAGGGAGTGGGTGATTTTTCACAGCTTCCATTCATTTCTTTGGATCACGTTCCCAAATCCCACCCGGCTCTACATGCAGTGGCATTTTCCAGAGCGATGAAATAAAAACCACAGCCTTGCTTACAAATTGCCCCAGGTGTTTTTGGAGGAAGGGGAAGCTTTCACCCCAGGGATGCTACTGTGTGCTGCCCTACTACTGAATTAATAACGTTTTTCCCTGCTCTTCTGGCTGGGGTTAGAAGGATGCAGCTCAGCTGGGTTTCACCTTGGCTGAGCTGAAGACCCCTGCCTGCCACAAACCGTGTGCTTGTTGATGCCATTCAGTCTCAGGGAAGCTCTCCAGCACACACCACGTATGAAATGCTGATCTCTGTGATCTGCGCACTGTTCAGCCAGTAGAAACCCACAGCACAGCACTGGAGCATGGAACAGGTGAGTGCCAAACTGCATTCACGCCACCTCCTTGCTGGGGACACCCCTGGCAGCACTTGGTGACGTGCAGCCCTGCAGCATGCTGGAGGTGGGTTCCCAGCAGATCCATGTGGCTTCATGTGACTCCCCCGGAGTGTGCACAGATAAAGGGGGCATTATTCACCGTGCCAGGCCTGTGCCATGTGCTGTAACCAGACCAGGAGCAGCCTTCCCCAAGGCATTAACAGGAGCATCCATCTCCAGCGCCCAGCTGGCTCCAGCCCTGTGCCCCAGGAGGGGGAAGGCTGCCCCAGACACAAGTTCTATTTTATCATCTATTTTTTCTTTTTGCAGCTGCTGACATAATCTCCCACATTAGTTGGACTGGCCAGGGTGCTGCTCTGAGCAAACACAGCACCGGGACTGGCTGCACTTACTGGCTGTCCTCTGCAAACAACTCTGTGCCCGGAGCCCTGCTGGCCAGCTCTGAGCACGGCCCATCGCTTGGTGGCCTGTGGCCGGCCAGCACGTGGCCACCTCCCTCTGCCACCCCACAGCAGGCTGCCCTGAGAGCCATGCATGGTAGCAATCCTGAGAACAAGGGCCTCGACAGCCCTGCAAACGGGGAAACTGAGGCAGGGGGGCGCCGAGGCCAGAACACAGATAATCTCCAGGCAGTACCAGATCCCACTCCACTCAGTGTCATGCAATGGTGGTGCTTTCCAGGATCAAACTCAGGTTGCGATGCAGGGCAGAGCAGGCTCAGTGCATGCCTGTGCAGGCTCGGCAGGGGTGATGGCACGTGTTTGCAGCCTCGTGCAGGCTGTGTGATCAGCTGCAGTTCTGCAGCACGCTTGGCTGGTTCATTTGTGCGTTCGCCGTGGTGTTTTGTACGACCTAGAAAACTCCAGCTGGCGCATGCAAGCCAGCATGCCTCTTTAGTTTGTAATTAGTCTAAGGGGAAGGATTGAGCTGGTTAAGTTCCCTTTGCATGATGCTGGCCATCAGAAACACACACCTCCCTCATTCTGACTCTGCAGCTCCGTTGGAACCCGATGTTCAGAGGAACCATAGTACAGCAGAGCTCTGCACATCCCTGCAGAACACGGATTGTGCTCGGGGTGTCCTCACACCCAAAGGTCGTGTTTGCAATTTGCATGCACTGATGAAATGGCTCTGTCCCACCAGACAGCAACACCCCGCCGTGAGCAGTTCTGACTTGCTTACATCTCTGGTTATTTGGAGTGGTTTGGAGGAATTTGGGCTCTCTCTTTAAAACAAACTCCTTTTGTCTTTTAGAAAAAGGAGAGAAATGCCTGAGATGGACCAATTCTGAACAGCTGAGCCCCTCTGCTTCTGTTCAGGCTCTTTTCAGAGTGGGGTGATTTGGATGCAGGCCCATCCTGCATTCCATCCAACGCATAAACGGGGGCTCCCAGGAGTGGTGATGCTGAACATGCAGAACCCCTTAACCCACAGCCCAGGCAGCAGAATCCAAACCTCTAAAGCACTGCACCTCCTGCCCAGACAGGCCCTCATTACAGGGTCCTCCTGAGCAGGAGGAGCACCAAACCTTTGTGCTGAGAGAACTAAATTAAACCTTAAATTAAACCTTTTCATACAGCTTCTAAATGTTTGTTTTGTTGGGTTTTTTTTTTTGGTTTTTTTTTTTTTGGTTTTTTTTTTTTGCTGTTCACACCTTTGCTTTGAACTCACGGGTCTGCCTCAGGAACTTTATAAATCCCTTTAAACCCAGCTCTTCCAATGCAACTGCTGGGAACTGGGGCGGGAGGGGCAGATGTTGAAGAGCTCTGTTTGCTCCCTGGCAGCCGGTGAGCCCTGCTGGCTGTGAGCCCCCCCAGCCGTGCTGTCTGGAGCCAATCTGAGAAGAAAAGTCGGAATTCCGTTCCGTTTTGCATTTCTCCATTCTTCCCGACTTTGTCGTTGAGCGGCGGAGCGACAGAAAAGGAGTAAGAGCTCATCCAGGGCTGGGGAAGCTGTGCTTGGCCCCGTTGGCTGTTGGAGCTGGTTAATGTTTTTGCAGCGGGGCCGGAGGACGGCGGTGCGGAAGAGGAGGAGGAGGAGGAGGAGGAGGAGAGCATCGGAGGAAGGCAGACGTCCCACGGCCATCGCGAGCGTTGCTGGTGAGTGGATCCTGGATCTTCTGTGGGGATTCCTGGTGGGATTTCCCAGCTTTGAGTGGTGGCAGTGAGTGGGGTCCCATAGGGGGGGGAGCTCTGCAGCAGAACCCAACCCTGCTGCTCCACCGCAGCCCACTGCAAACTGCTCCAAAGCTATGTGTGCCCAAAGCACGTCCCCAGTCTGTGGTGTAGGGCTGGAGGGCTTGATCTGCCCCCCATCCCCCCCAGCAGCCGTTGCTCTGTTTTCTTTTGATAAGGAGCAAACCTTGCGCCTTTGTCGTGGCTTTTGAACGCGTGGAAAAAAGAAAAAAAAAAACAACACAGAGAAAAGGGGTGGTTTCTGTGGGCTGGCAGCGAGCCCAGGAGCCGCCTTGTGTATTTTCAGGTCCCTTTTGTAAGCTGGGCCCCTCTGAAGGGTGTTTGGAAACTGCTGTTTGGATACAGTTCCCTGCTGGATGGGGGTCTGAGCTCATGCTGTCCCCTGTTGGACTCCACTCGCTGCCACCATGCTGCTCTGGGTGCTGCTCAACCCATTGCCCAACATGCACGTTGTCACCAATACAACCACTGTCCCAATGGTGACCAGCTGGCACCCCTGCTCACCATCTGGGATCTCTGCAGGTTGACATGTCCTACATAAGCTGTGCCCTGCGGGTGGCTGCCCCCCGTCGCCTGCCAGCCCCCTGGAGAAGCCCCCGACCCTACAGCAGCACGACAGGACCCACAACCGAGAAGAGCGTTCCTTACCAGAAGACACTGAAAGAAGAAAGCAATGGGAGCACGGGGCCCAGCCGACCACCCCCAGCCTCAGCCGAGGTGGTGGTGGTCGGGGGGGGCAGCCTGGGCTGTCAGACCACCTATCACCTGGCCAAACTGGGCATCACCAACGTCGTCCTGCTGGAGAGGGACCGCCTGACAGCGGGCACCACCTGGCACACGGCTGGTGAGCTGCAGGGATGGGAGCCTGTTGTTGCTGTTTGTGACCTCACGTTGCAGCAGGGGAGGTTCAGGTTGGATACTGGGGAGCGTTTTATTCTCCAAAAGAAAGGTGCTGTGCTGTCACAGCTGCACGGAGAGTGCCAGAGTCACCATCCCTGGGGTCTTCCACAGTGTGTGAATGTGGCACTGAGGGACATGTCAGTGGGTATGGTGGGATGAACTTGGGGATCTGAGATGGCATTTCCAACTGTAAGGATGCTGTGATTGCTATTATTAACACTATTGCTATTATTGTTAATTTTCTTTGGCAGGGAGGGGGGAAACTACAAGAGTTTAACTCGGCCATCATTTTCGGGTGCTGTGTCTTTCAGGGGTAGTTCTCCACAGAGCCCCAACCCCCCTTTTCCTATTCATTTAACACCCAATCAGCAAAAAATCCATGATCTGTCGCTCTCCTAAGTAGCCACGAGATGGAGCAAGAGCCCCAGCGGGGTGACACTGCCGCCAGCGGGACGGGGAGGGAACCACGGAGCGACCGGAGCTCCCAACTTGGTCCCACTCGGCTCCGTCCCACGCTGTCCTCCATAGGTTTGTTGTGGCAGCTCCGTCCCAGCGACGTGGAGGTGGAGCTGCTGGCGCACACGAGGGATGTGGTGAGCCGCGATCTGCCGGCCGAGACGGGGCTGCACACGGGCTGGGTGCAGAACGGGGGGCTCTTCATCGCCTCCAACAAGCAGCGCCTCGATGAGTACAAGCGGCTCATGTCGGTAGGATCAGCCCTCAGCATCCCCCTGGGACATAGCGTTGGTCTGTTGGGGTTCGTTGGGTTGGCATCAGGCAAGATGAAGCGCAAAGATGATCCTTTTTTGCCCTTTCAGATGTCGTTTTCCCAGTTTCAGAGCAGCTTGTGTGCAGCCTCATCCCATATTCCCATGCAGATCATCACACCCACCTCCAGATGGAGGGTTTGCCTTAGAGCAACGTCATCCCTGGGCCACGTGGGGGACTGGGGAGCAAAACTTTGTCCTTGGGTTTCCTCCAGCATGGGATGAGTTCATGCTCATGGTTTTCTTGTCTGCTGGCAGCTGGGGAAGGTGTATGGCATAGAGTCACACGTCCTGACCCCGGCACAGACCAAGGAGCTGTACCCACTGATGAATGTGGACGACCTGTATGGCACTCTGTACGTCCCCAAGGATGGCACCATGGATCCTGCTGGCACCTGCTCCACCCTTGCCAGAGCAGCAACAGCCAGAGGTGCTACGGTAATGCCTAATTACTAATTAATGCCTGTTGGCCCTCCACCTTCCCCAATTCTGTCTCCAGTAGTTAGATCTTTGCCCTGAAGGATTGTTGTCCTATTGGGCTTTGGTGACTCTTTGGGTCACGGTGATAAAGGAGGGAGGAACTGGGAAAGTATAGGATGAAGAAAAGACCATTAGGAGCAAGATGAGAGCCCAAGGCAGGTTCCTTGGGTTTAAGGCACACTAACACACCCCACTCCTCAAAGCAGGAATTACCAGTGTGTGGCTTAGCTCATGTGCAAGGCATGGACATAACAAATGTCCTCTGCAGCTGTGGGTACACAGAGGTGTGGTTTGAGCCTGGAATGGAGAGGAGTGTTACTGTCAGCAGTAAGAGGAGTCACTATTCCAAAAAAAAAGATGGCCAGAAACCTGCTGAGCTCCACCTTTCCCAGTGCCAGGGGTGATCCCAGATCTGCCTCTTTTTCTCCACCTTCAGATCATAGAGAACTGCCCCGTCACCGGCATCCAGGTCAGAACGGATGACTTTGGGGTGAAGAGGGTGCATGCAGTGGAGACAGCCCATGGCACCATCCAGACTCCCTGTGTAGTCAACTGTGCAGGTACGGATGGCACAGCTCTGCTCTGCACAGCATGTGCCAGGGATGCACCAAGCCCATGTCCCCCAGCTGATGTGTTCTGTGTGCCCCAGCTGTTGTGCTCTGTGTCCCCACAGGGGTGTGGGCGCGTGCCCTGGGCCGGATGGCAGGTGTGCACGTGCCACTGGTGGCAATGCATCACGCCTACGTGGTGACCGAACGCATTGAGGGTATCCAGGTGGGTCCTGCACCACTCCTCTGTGTGCTCCATTGATGGTCAGAAACAGAACCACCCCTTCTTGACCCACAGGACCTCCAGGACCCCCTCCCCTGCTGCAGGACCAGGTTCTGCGTTCACCCCCCTGGTAGCACAGACAGCTGCCTGCCTTATTAGAACCATGTTTAGTATTTAATGATGTTACGACTAGCAGGATCGTTTTTTATTATTTATTTATTTGTTCTCAGTGGAATTACTGTAGGGTCTCTGAGGTGCTTGATGTCTGAAAGCAGCGCTCATAAAGATGCCAAACACCTTCTGAACGAGCAGAGCTGCTGTAGCTCTCCAGGCACTTCTGCACCACCCTGAGAAATCTGTTCCGCCTTCTGGCTATTGAGAACGGCTCAGGAGCTGAAGCAAACTTCATTCACTCAGGTGCCAGGGCTTGCAGAGTAACACTTTAATTAGTTTCCACCCTGCTGATACAATCTGAGTTGGAGCTTTCAGTCCTCGATGCCTCATATTCAGAAGTGCTGGTGTCTGTTCACCTTTCCATTCCAGCAACTCTGCTGGGCTGTGCAAACACAGCAAGGGAGAGGCTCAGAGCAGAGGCTGCAGCTTGTGAGCCCCAGTGCATCCTGCTCCATCCATTTCATTTGTCAACATGAAATGCAGGAGGCCCTACAACAATACCTTGGCTCTGTCTAAATGTTCACCTATTCATCATTCACAGGCACAAATCCCTCGTTTGCTGCATGCTGCCGTGCTTTTATTTTCACCCATGTAGGTGGGTGGCAAAGCCAAGCTCAGAGCAGGATCTGGGATCAGACCGCAGCCGTTGAGCCACTTGGAATCAAGCACCCAAATTTTGGGGCTCCCTGAGCTCCCTCTCCCCCATTAGGTTGGGAGTGCAGAGGGTGGTGCAGCCCAGCTGCGGTCCAGCTGCACATTCAACCTGCTCAGATGTCTCTATGGGGATGGGCTTGTGGGCACATGGGGCTGTTGGGGCTGCTGCAGCTCTCAGCCCTGGCTCACTCCTGCACCTCCCTTCCTGCAGAACATGCCGAATGTTCGGGATCACGATGCCTCGGTGTATCTCCGTCTCCAAGGCGATGCCCTTTCCGTGGGTGGCTATGAGTCAAACCCCATCTTCTGGGAGGAGGTGAGCGGTGCTGGGAGGCTCTTGAGGGAACGAGGCGGGTTTGCAGGGGACCCACATCAGTGGGGTTGGGTGCAGCAGTGAGCTCCTCGTGGCCCTGCTCTGCCCAGCCTGACCATGGGCTGATTTTGGGAGCTCAGGAGAGCATTGCCCCCGTTGGTTTGCAGGTGATGAGGAAAACAAGCAGTGCTCAAGGCTAACCTTGCTGTTCTGCTGGGTCCCTGTATCTTAATTCAGGCTCTGTCCCAGCCCTTATACTGCATTTTTCAATGCCTCTGTCCCAAGGAGGAGGGACTGCCCTCATCAGATGATGTCCATCCCCTGACACATCTGTAATGTACAACAGAACATGCAGAGGCTTTGGGTTTGGTGCTGGCTTTGCATCTCTGTACTGAGCTGTTCATAAAAACCCAGAGACTGGGATCTGCAAAGCAGCTCTATTTTCTGGGGCCACAGAGGTTGGCAGGGCTGAGAAGCTCTTACCCATCAGCTGTGCTCTAATTTGTGTCCTGATTCCTGTTTCCCACCTTCAGGTGTCAGAGAAATTTGCCTTCAGCCTCTTTGACTTGGACTGGGATGTTTTTATGCAGCACATCCAGGGTGCCGTCAACAGAGTGCCGGTGCTGGAAAGGACGGGCGTCAAATCCACTGTCTGTGGTCCAGGTAATGCAGTGCCTGGGAGCAGCAATCTGCTGCCTTCAGGTTGTGGGTCCCAGCAGATAGGGAGGTGAAGAGGGCAGTTTTGTGGGATGAGCTGGAGATGCAGGAGCTGACACAGCTCTGCAGATCCTTGCATGCTGTCACTGCCCTACGCTCTTATTCCTGATCCAGCCCATGCACTTACATCCCATTTGTCCCTTCCTTGCACTATGCTGTGGGACATTGGGGTTTGGGGGAGCACTGATCAGAGCCGGTGCTGGTGGGTGTGCATTCTGGTGGGGACAAGAAGGGCTGCCCAAACCCTGAGAGACACAGAGAGGACCCATCCATGCTGAGGCTGCAGTGGTGTCACTTTCCTGGAGGTGGCATACCAGGCTGAGCCCTGCCTTCTTATGGTGCAGAGCTTGGGGACAAACGAAGGTCCCAGCTGGTGCTGGGGCTGCTGACCTGAGAATGGAGCATTTTCTCAAGTAGCGACTGCTGATTTCCTGAGATTTATACCATTATTGTGGAGTTTTATTTATACTATTATTGTGGACTGTGGAATTTCAGGCATCAGGCCTGAAAACATTTGGTTTGCTTCCAGTGTCTTGCAGCCCATGCAGGTAGGGGTGATGGCACCATCGAGTTGAGCCATAAGCATTTGGCCTTGAAACCCTCCACATGCCAAAAAAACAAATCCTTTTTGCTGAAGCACTTAAAGGGAAACCCTGGAGAGCCCTGGGAAGGAACTGGGCTGTACACAAAGGGAAAGCAGGACACATCTCTGGCCCTGCAGCATGCATAATGCAGAGGCTGCGCCCTGGCTTTGATTGAATTGCGGTGTGGTTGGAGCTGGGGGCCTCCAGCAGGCAGCTGACAGCTTATAGATAGATGTCAAGTGTTTGTAATGCAGTGGGGTAATTTGCAAAGGGTCAGCACTCCTCCTTTTCTTGATTTAAAGGTGCTGCTGGTCTGCTTGCCACAGAGGAATCAGGCAGGGCTGGAACAAATAGCAAACACTTGTTCTTTCTGCTGTGCTGTAAATATTTCACCACCAGAACAGAAAGCTGCCCCTCAGTGAGGGAGTTCCTGCAGTGATTATGGGAGCAAAGTTTGGGTGCAGTGCAGACCCAGCTCACATTTTGCACGGTTGCACAAAGTGCCCTAATGCAGGGAGGATGGCACACCTCCAGCAAGGGTGTTCTGCACTGCCCTTCACGTGTGGGAGGTGCACCAGGGATGTGGCTGATGGTTGTATTGGGAACAAGAGCTTTGGGCAGCAGCAATGGCTTCACCAAGTAGCTTAAATTCCTGGCACTTCTCAGCAGGAATCAATAGCAGTGAAAGAGAAATAGAAAGAGGAATGAAGCCACCAATGGCAGGAGCAGGATGAGGTCAGAGCAGGATCTCCACGGGACAGATCCTGGCTGATGCATCTCTCTGTGTCCTTCAGAGTCGTTCACAGCTGACCACAAACCTCTCATGGGGGAGGCTCCAGAAGTCCGAGGTTTCTTCCTCGGCTGCGGCTTCAACAGCGCCGGTAAGAGAGCGCAGGAAACCCCACTGCGTGCATCCCAGTGTGAGCATCACAGCCCGGCAGCGATGGTGCTTGGCCTCATTGGTGTCCTCACCTCTTCTCCAGGGATGATGTTGGGAGGAGGCTGCGGGAAGGAGCTGGCCCATTGGATCATCCACGGCCGGCCGGAGAAGGATATGTACGGCTACGACATCAGGCAAGGCTGTGCTGGCACCCAATGGGGAGCATGGGGGTGGGTGTCAAAATCGGGTGTCTAGGCAGTGTCTGTGCCACAGCCCCTGTCCTCTGAGAAGCTGGAATCAATTAGGCCCATGGCTGTAATGAATTTACACGTGGGATTTATCTCATTTGCCTCATTCTGCTTCTATGCAAACTGCGTCCATCAGACTCGAGGAGATTGCAGTGTTGAGGAAGGACGGGGTAATTATGTTTGGGTTGTGTTGTTGTTCAATTAGTGCTGTGCCTAATCTTCTAAGTTAATAATCGGGGGTGATGATTGCAACTGGAGAAAGATTAGTGCTCCCTCTCTGCAGCGCTGCATGGGCCGGGAGATTTGGGCTGCGCAGATGTTGGCTCTGTAATTGCTTTTGACTTGTTCAATCGTGTCTGATTGGGTTTGGGCTTTCTTGCAGGGCTGCTTGTGACAGCAACAAGCTTGTCAGGGATAGATCTGTGAAAATCACATTGCTTTGATGGGAACGGTGGTAAACAGACCATGGAGCCAGCATGGGATCTGCTGCTAACACATAGAATCACAGAATGGTTTGAGTTGGAAGGGACCCTGAAAGGCCATCTGGTCGCAATCTCTGCAGTGATTAAGGACACCCACAGCTCCACAGGGTGCTCAGAGCCCCTCCAGCCTGACCCTGGCTGTCTGCAGGAACGGGGCATCCACCAGCTCTCTGGACAACCTGTACCAATGCCTCACCACCCCTATTTTAAAACACTTTTTGCTCATATCCAACCTACACTGGTTTGCAAAGCAGGCAGCAGCCCCATGGCCCCCATGTCCCCACCACAGCAATGGTGCTTTGCCAGCTGCTGTGCCATTGGGTGCTCCATCCTTCTGGTGCTCTGCCTTTCCTGCGCTTGTCAAGCTGATAGCAGTCCTGTTTTGTTGTTTATTTATTTTCTTTATTATGATTACTGAGCTCCTCTTTAAATAACTCCCGTTCCCTCACATTTAAATATTTATCCTCTCAAATCATTCGCTTGTAAATATTTCATCTGGCAGCTGTTGCTCCTTTCTCTGCTGTCCAAATGCAGCGTGGTGGTGGTGGCAGGGCTGGGGACATCCCCTGCCATGTGTCCACTGCCATGTGTCCCTACCATGTGTCCCCTGCCACCTGTCACATGTGGGCAGAGTGGGGGAGAAAGCCAAAAATACCATTCTGAAAGGTCCTGTATGTTAAATTTTGCCTTGCCTTCTGCCTGCTGCTCTACAGAACTGGGGGCTCTGGGCAATGGGGACAAGAGAGATGCCACCAGCCAGGAGGTGACAGTCCAAGAATCACAGGGCTATGGCACAGGGTATGGCAACAACACCCCGAACCTGTGCTGAACTGGCACATTCCTCCAAGGAGATCTTTCTATTTGAAAGAGGAAAGCATGTCAAACAAATTTAAAATGCTTTGGGTTTTATTTATATTTCAGTCTAGGGAGAATTGGATGAAAAATGTGAGGAATGCTTGTGGCTCTCTTCCTCTTCTTGCATTTCAGGCTGGGTTGTGCAAGAAGAGCTCTCTGAGGTTTGCCCAGTGCTGAATCAGGGCAGAATTAACCTCAATTTCTCTCGTTTCTTGTTTTTCCCCAGCGGGGTTGTATCCTGCTCTGGTAAATCTGACAGGGCCTAGGGATGGCAGAGCCATGGGGATGAGCATTTTGATGGGCAAGAGACATGATTTGGGTTTCTCTGCTCTCCTCCCTACAAAAGGGAGTAGAAATCACAATATTACACCACGGCAGCCGCCAGCACCTCTCACTGCCAGGCTGTGCCTGGGGGTCCTACGCTCACCATCCCTTTCTCTGCCCTTCAGGAGGTTCCACCATTCCCTCACCAACAACAACTGCTGGATCCGGGAGCGGAGCCACGAGTCCTATGCCAAAAACTACTCGGTTGTCTTCCCCCACGATGAGCCGCTGGCAGGGCGCAACATGAGGAAGGACCCTCTGCACGAGGTGGGCACCCCCTTGCATCCCTGCTCCCATCCATCAGCGTGGCACTGCTCACCCCGCTGCGCAACGCAGGGATGCTGGGGTGGGCTGACCCCAAATGGAAGTTAGATGGTGGAGATGCCAAATATTCCCTTGTGACTCAACGTAGCGCAGGTCAACGGATGATGAAAAAGTTCAAAGCAAAGCTCAGAGCCCCCCAAAACACTCACAGAGCCCAGCAGGGAGCTGAGCCCTTTCCAATGACTGCAAATTCACACTGCAGCATCCCTCTTCCAACAGAGAGCAGTAAAACAGACATTCCTCTCCACCGGCCCCCGATGTTTGGTTGACAGCTCCGTTGTTTTCTGTCACCGAGAATGCAATTTATTTTTTAATAGTGTGTCTAATAAGCAATGCCCATTTGACTGACAGCCTGGTATTTATGCATGCAGCTCCAGTACATGTGCTGCGTTTTATAAATAGGCACTGAATCATTGCTGAAATATTCTGCAAAATGTATTCTTTTCCGAATGGAGGTACCCAACGAAAATATCTTAATGGATCCCTAATTAATTGCTCATGGAGAGATTTTCCTGAGAGCGCAGAGCAGGAATGAGAAGGTTGCTGTGTGAATCTCTGATGTTGATGGTGTAATTATGGAAATCGTTGGGGAGATTGGTGCTATCTGCATTCAGTGCAGTGCAAATTCAGTGCTGAAGCAGTGATCTGTGCAGTGCAGGTTTTGGTGCTCGTAGTGTTGTAAGGGGGGCACTAACATCAGCCAGTCCATAGGGCAACGAGGAGTTCTGCTGGCTTAGAGGGCAACCCCAGGAGCTGATTTTGGCTGCTGATAGCTGATGCCAAGGGGTTGCGAGTTGGTTTTTGAGCGTACGTTGCAGGTGGCTGGAGGAGGGCTCAGAGAAAAGTACTGTTTTTAACCTTATTGTTCCCATTTCTCTGGCTTTGTCTCAAGCAGGAGCTGCTCCAGCAGGGCTGTGTGTTCCAGGAGAGGCATGGCTGGGAGCGGCCAGGTTGGTTCAGCCCAGGAGGAGCAGCTCCGGTAAGCACAGTGCCGGGTGTGCAGGGCGTGCTGCCCTGAAAGCAGTGCATCTCCCCAGAACAGGTCCATGAAAACATCCCTTAATTCACTCTAACAATAAGCAGAAGGAGTTCTGTGTGCATGTCTGCCTGTCCCTCTGCAACAGGCAGCCGTAATAGGGGGCACTGGTGTCCCTTCTGTACATTGGGAGCTGTGGGAAGAGGCACCCAGATGAGGACCTACCAGTTCAGCCATGTCCCACATCCCTCTGCCTCTCCCTGCATGGTGTGGAGCAGCCCTTTGGCTTCGGGGTTCTTCCTATTACCTCCCCCCCATCCTCACACTTCTCTCCCAGGTTCTGGATTATGACTATTATGGTGCTTACAGCCGGGAGCGGCACAGGGAATACACCTACAACCAGCTGCTGGCAGATGAATACACCTTCGACTTTCCACCACATCACAACACTGTGAGTGCGGGGTGGGGGCACATCTGGAGCTGGTGGGGGTGATGGAGGCCCCAGAGCACCTGCAGCACTCTGCCTTTGCATAGAGCTGGGGAGGCTCAGGGGGATGGAAACTCAAAGCTGGGGGAAATGTTCTCCGAAAATGAAGCGAAACGCATGGCTTGTGCTTGGAAAGCTCAGAAGAGGCCATGTGAGTTTTATGGCTGCTTTCCCAAAGGAAAGAAATGGAAACATCTTGGGGAAACTTCATCTGCAGAGCATTGGCTCCCCAGCGAGCTCAGTGTCCCCAAACTGCAGTGCAGAGCAAGGGACCCGATGGAAATGGGGGAAGGAATGCCTGGTTTGATCAGATGAACCATTATTATTGATGGCTCTCACTGTGTACTGACATAAGGAATGAGACAGGGCGTACACTGACTTGTCACACTTAACACTGACTTTTCATGTATATTTTGAAGCCCTCCAGTGAACTTTTAAGTCACCAGGTGTGTATCCTGGTGGTGCTTCTCATTACGTAAATGGTTTCAGCAGTGTGTTTGCTTTAATTTTAGATCAAGAAGGAATGCCTGACGTGCAGAAATGCCCTGGCTCTCTTCAACATGTCTTATTTTGGGAAGTTCTACCTGGTTGGCCCCGAAGCCACCAAAGCAGCCAACTGGCTGTTCAGTGCTGACGTGAGCAAAGCGCCAGGTACCACCAGCCCCTCTCATTGTGAGTGGGGCATCCTGAACCAGAGCGCACAGCGGGGACCCAAACCAGCTTTTGTTCCATGCATGTTACAACCCTAAGGGGAAAAAGCCTTGTTCCCATCTCTGGGTAGGGCACGGTGCACCCAGGTGCAATGGTAGTAATTGGTTTGTTTAAGAATTGGGATAAGTGTTGATGCTCCCCATTGCTGGGCAGGGCAGGTGGGCAGCGTGTCTCTCCCACAGGCAGCACCGTGTACACCTGCATGCTGAACAAACGTGGAGGGGTGGAAAGCGACCTGACCGTCAGCAGGATCAGCCCTGGTGACCCCAGCTCCCCACTGGCCCCCGCCTTCCAAGGTAAAACCCTGGGAGTGGGGCAATGGGGTTTGTGCCTCCAGCCTGAGCCAGGCATGCAGCTGCATCCTCAGGATGCTCCCTGCAGTGGGATGGGAAGCCACAGTGATGGGCTCAGCACAGGGCTCTCTGTCCTTGCTGTGCTCAGGACCATGCGTGGCCGCGGGCGCAGCGCTGATTGCATTTACCTAATGGCAGCCACCTGTTTTTTTCCACTTCCACCCCCCGCTGTCTATAACCCAATTATCCCCTTTGTGCCGGGGGCTTGTGCTGCTCGTCGGTGTTATTGGGTTTCTTCAGGCCAGGATGGTGCTCTGACCTCTCCCAGAGCCCTTATCAGCTGCCATAAAGGCGAACTGAAAGGAAGCAGAGCAGCCAACCCTGAGGGCAGGAATGGCATTAGGGAGCAGCAGGGGAGGAGGGCACCAAATTGGGCTGCAGCACCACTGGCAGCACTGTGCTGTGCTGTGCTGTGGCACTCTGGCATCCCACACCCCTTTATCCCCAGTGCTCAGGGGCAGTGTGGTGATGGGGAGTGGTTGGCAGAGCTGCAGGGTTTGACAGGTGATGGAGAAGCTGAATAGGAGCGAGTCTATTTTTCCAATTACAGTAGGTGGCTGCACTTATTATCGTTATGACAGAATATCAGAGAGTAATTTTGTAGTAGCAGGAAAGGAAGAGGAAAGATCGATCGCGCAATAATCAGCTCCCAAACCACATCCTTGGGAATTTTTCACCCAGGATTATCAACAAGATGAAATTCCTCCTCATACTCACACGCACAACTCCTTGCCTACCCCTCCCTAACCCTGAGCCCCAGTGAAGTTACATTACAGGACTGCAATGAGGTTGGATTCCCAGCACAAAGGAGGCTCCCATCTCCCACATGCAGAGGTTCAGCCCAGCTCCGATGCACCATTCCCTTCTTCCTCCACACCACGGCATTGATTCTTTCGTAGACAAAACATTAAGATTTTTTGCTGTTCTCCTCAAGAACAGAGAGTTTTCTCTTTCCATGATGTTTACTCCCACGTATCTCCAGGGCTTGGCCAACTGGCAAAAGCTCCATCAGCAGGGCTGGTGTGGGCAGTGTCTCTGAACTCCCCCCTGTGACTGGGGAAGCTGCATGCAAAGGAAAGCAAATGCAGTGAATCGTGAGGCTGCTGTGGTCCTTTGGAGACCAAGAGCGCTTGCATTATGCTACCTTTGACTTCAGCCCTTAAAACTCCTTGCTTAAGAGTGGAGCAGCACCTACCAGAGTTGCTCAAAGTGCTCCGTTTTTCATGGCCCCACATCCTGACTTACACTGAGCAGAGCATCACCCCCAGCCCAGTGCCATTGATCTTAAAGCACTGTTGGGGTTGGGGGATGTCATTTTCCAGGAGATGGTTACTACCTGGCCATCGGTGGGGCCGTGGCTCAGCACAACTGGTCACACATCACCACAGTGCTTCAGGACATGAAGCTGCAGTGCAAACTCATCGACTGCTCGGAGGAGCTGGGCATGATGAGCCTGCAGGGTCCACTGAGGTGAGTGGGCTGTGGCCTCTTTCCCTGAGCCCCATTCATAGGATAAGATCCCCAACCCATCCCACCGTGCCCACTGACCTTGTCTCCAAGTGCCACATTTCCACAGTTCTTAAACACCTCCAGGGATGATGAATTCACCACTCCCTGGGCAGCCCATGCCAACACCTCACTGCTCTTTTGGAGAGGAAATCTTTGCTATATATCCAACCTGCTGAGAAAGCAGCTGATGCCCACCAGGAGGAGAGCAGTGAGCTCTCTCCTTTGCTGTTCCCCCACAGCCGCACTGTGCTGCAAGAGCTGCTGGACACCGACCTCAGCAATGAGGCCTTCCCCTTCTCCACCCATAGGCTTGTGAAAGCTGCAGGATGCACGGTAGGACAGCAGTCGGGGTCCCAAGGGATGTCTTCTACTGCCTATGGGTTTGTTGAATGTCTTCACTGGGAA